TCAGATACTTCTCTGTGATTCTGACGAAACCATCTTTCATTGCCTTGTTTTGCACCGCATTCTACTATATTGCGCTGTAGTATAGTATACAAATACTGTTGTGCTTTAATTAAGCTCTCTGTTCTGTCTTGTGCTGTATTGTATGGCAGCAGCGTAATACGCCATAAGGCTTCAGGGTGAATAGTGCGCGTTGCGGCCTAAGTGTTTCAATTTTTGTCAGTACGATTGTAGCCTCTGTATACCGCTCTGGATCAGGCTCGATGCCGGAAGTGCATGTATGCAAGGCCAGAGATTGGAAACACACACTAATTTGCTTGTCTCATGGCCAGCACAGATGCAGAGCATCTTCGCACAACGACTTCTCGAGCCTGTCACTTTCAAGCCTACCTCCTACGTCTCCAGAGCAAGTGCAATTTAGAGACACATCATGGCGGGCCTTCAACGAAGCCGAATCCAATGTATGCTTCTTCAAATCTCTAGCACGTGTCAATCGTGGCACACCTGGCCAAACCGGATTGTAACACAACGACACGAGTCTATGTTGGTCGTGCAACTTGCGCTCAAACTCTTCGTCGCACCTTTCAGCCTCATACGATATGCTGATGCGAATAGACTGTGTGTTTCCACTCACGGCGTAACCTCAACTCGAACAAGAGGCACGCAGCCTGGGCTCGCCAGAAAGCTTGAAGATATACAACATCCTTCGCACGAAAATACGAGCGCCGGGCACAACCCCGGAGGTCACTGAAATGCCTCATGACGCTTGACTGTTAAGCCGGTTGGGAGGCGGTGGTATTGGTAGTGGTACTGGAAGTGGTGGTACGAAAAGCACTAGCAGGAGCAGCAGCAGGATCAGGACCAGGAAAGGAGCAGAACCAAAACCAGGAGCAGTAGTAGTAGTAGTAGTAGTAGCAGTAGTGGTGGTAGTAGTAGTAGTAGCAGCAGCAGCAACAACAGTAGCACAAACAAACATGACAATAACAGTGGTCGTCGCAACAGCAGTAGCCGATCCATGTTTATTTGGGACAAAGCCAGTAGAAGTAGTAGTATCGTGAACGTAGTAGTCGTAGTAGTTAGTTTACAGTTTTGATAGCAGTAGGGGTGGTAGTGGCAGCAGTAGTAGTAGTAGTAGTAGTAGTAGTAGTAGTAGTAGTCGTAGTGGTAGTAGTAGTAGTAGTAGTAGTAGTACTAGTAGTCGTAGTCGTAGTCGTAGTCGTCGTAGTGGTAGTAGTAGTAGTAGTAGTAGTAGTAGTAGTAGTAGTAGTCCTGGCGAACGAGGGCCGATTTTTGACTAAGTTCGCACGCAAATTTCGCAATCCTGGTTGTGCAAGATTGGCGTGCAAGCTTGCCAAAAACCACTTGAACCACTGCACCACTTGACCACTTGCACCACTTGGGGGGGGGGGGGGTGAGGGCAATCTTGGACATCTTGCCCATCTTACCTTGCAGCACTTGCACCACTTTTGCCACTTAAACCACTTGCGCTACTTGAACCATCTTGGTCCCCAAGATTAGCAAGATCAGCAAAATTTTGGTCACACACACAGCAGCCCTCGTTTCCCGGCACGATGTCGTAGTCGTAGTAGTAGTAGTAGTAGTAGTAGTAGTAGTAGGAGTAGCAGTAGCAGTAGTAGTGGTCGTCGTCGTCGTGGTGGTAGTAGTAGCAGTAGTAGAAGTGGGAGTAGTAGCAGGAGTAGTAGCAGTAGCAGTGGCTGCAGCACTAGCTGTAGCTCCAGCAGTAGCTGCAGCAGTAGCAGTAGCATCAGCAGTGGTAATAGTAGTACTAGTAGTAGTAGTAGTCGTAGTAGTAGTAGTAGTAGCAGTGATAGTAGTAGTAGTAGTAGCAGTAGTACTAGTACTAGTACTAGTAGTAGTAGTAGTAGCAGTAGTAGTAGTAGGAGTAGGAGTAGTAGTAGTAGTAGTAGTAGTAGTAGGAGTAGTAGTAGTAATAGTAGTAGCAGTGATAGTAGTAGTAGTAGTAGTAGTAGTAGTAGTAGTAGTAGTAGTAGTAGTAGTAGTAGTACTAGTACTAGTACTAGTACTAGTACTAGTACCAGTACTAGTACTAGTACCAGTACCAGTACCAGTACCAGTACCAGTACCTGGTACTGGTACTGGTACTGGTACCGGTACCGGTACCGGTACTGGTACTGGTACTGCTAGGAGTAGTAGTGGCAGTAGTAGTAGCAACTGTTGGAGTTGCTGTCGTCGTCCTGCTGTAGCTAGTAGCAGTTGCAGTGGCAGCAGTCGTCGTCGTCGTCGTACTCGTCGTTGTAGACTGACCATGGCAGTCATGATGACCACGCAAGAAATGCTGCTGCCAATTATGATGCTGATGTGTGTGCCGGTGATCATGTCGATTTCTTGTTGCTGATATAATGATTATGATGACGATGACGGCTTAAGCTGGGTACCAGGTCGCCTTCGCCGCCCTCTGGAAAGCCGAGAACTGCCACCTCATCCTGGGTACCGGAGAAGAGGGAGAAGCAGTCAGATGCTTCAGCAGTTTCTCATGACCTTCGGGCTCTACCTTTCTAGACGACTGGCTTCCGAACGACGTTCTCTTGAGTGTCTGCAGATGAAGGCCGGCACGATTTTGTGGATCATGGTAAGTGGGCCTTTTCCGGGTTTGTGGAGCACTGGTCACTACTGGCTCCCCTTTGTTGTTGCAAGGAACATGGCTGGATGATTGTGGAACGTTCTTGCTACTCGCTGAAGCTCGATGATTACCCACCTACGAGCTGCAGCCGTCGCACTCAAACCTCGACCTTGCACCGCCAGCACAAACCCCTGCTGCTCATGCGTACAGGCCAAGCCCAATTGAGAAGCCTTGAGAGCCCCAAGCTCCAAGACACCAAAGTAAGACAGCTTTCCACAGTTCATGCCTGGCAGGCACTTGTATATATATATATATATATATATATGTATATATGTATATATATATATATATATATATATATATATATATATGTATATGTATATATATATATATATGTATATATATATATGTATATATATATATATATATATATCACATTGCCTACATTGCCTGCGTTCGACTCTACCACGGGCCTTGGCTCTCGACTTGCACTGTTCAGCTGATAGCTCCTCACTAAACCTCCGGGACTCCCAAACGCTCAACCTTTGAGCCCCGCAGGTCTCCGCCTGGAGAGAGGGCATGTTGCCGAAGTCCATGGGGCTGACCTGATGTTTTCATCTTTGGGAGTTCCGCACTCCTGAACCCAGGACTTCAATTGCCACGAAACCTGTGCTGCATGTGCCTCAGATACAGTGATAGTAGATGTCGGTGCTTTCAGCGAGCCTGCTGGTACAACCTGCAAGAAAGCTCGGGTGGTGCTGCTGTTGTTGTTACCGTTGTTGTTGTCGTTGCTGCTGCAGCTGCTGTTCCTCTTGGGTTGCAGCCGCTGTCGCTGTTGCAGTTTTGTTGCTGTCATCGAAAATGTCGAACTTGAAGTTGTTGATGCTGGTTAGCTGCTGTTACTCCTTTGTTGATGATGTTGATTGACAGTGTCGTTGTGGTAGCCTGCCCAAACACAGAAGAGCATTGTGAGTGTGGCGGCGGCTGCTACTATGATGACGATGACAATGAACATGACATTGCACGACAATCGCCGTCTAACTACATTACACCCTGGCTCTTTCATGCCCAGGACTCGTGAACCGCTAAAAATCTTGAGCGCCACAAACATGCGCAGCATGTGCTGAGCGAGCAGCGTTCTCCCAGAATGTCGCATCCTCTACACCTTAGAAGCTGCAAACCCCACTTAGGTCTGTAGGACATTACCGGACAGTGTTGGCCTATAGATTAGAGTGGCGGAATGGGCGAGATCCCACTGACAAGGAATTGGTGTCCCATGCTCCAGTCTATACAATGGATTCACTTTGCAAGATAAAAGAGCCCTGGGTCCCGCACGAGAGCAACAAACACGACCCTACGACAACAACTACTCCCACTCGTAGCAATGCTCTTCACCGTGCGTTTACTCCCATCCCTACGCCTGCTAAAACTCCGACATTTGCTACGACGAGGATGACGATTACTACAAGTGCTACTGCAGCTAGTACTACTGATATACTGCTACTGCTGCTACTAAGACACCACGACGACGACCACGACGACGAGGACTAATGACTAGTGCTTCTGCTGGCACGACTGCCCCAACGACGACTGATGCGACTGCTACGACCGCCAATGCGACTTCCACTACTTCCTTTTTCCGGGGGATGGTAGTGGTTGCACCTGGGAGGGGATAGGGTGGAGAACTCTTAGTGGTGATTGGTCTGAATGGCTCGGGGTTAAGGCTCCTTCCGAGTTTGGAGCTAGAGCTTCGAAAGCCGCTATGCCAACCGCCTTGTGGGATTAAGAGCTTAAAGACCGGATTCACTTATGCACAGGTGCAGGCAACCACGAACATTGCCATGCCAATAATGTTACACTTATACCTCTCTGTATGCAATATACACATACGTATACGCATCCTTATCTTTATACAAACACATATACATGAACATACATGAACCATGAAGATGTATGTATACGCACAAGCAAGGTCTTCTAATCTCCTGGTGGCTTTTTCGCTCTCGCAAGCTGTCTTCTCTCAGAGGCTCCGGAGCTCAAGACGAAAGCCGGGTTCAGGGTTAAGGATTTATACGGTTTAGGGAGCATAGTGTTTAAGGTGTAGGGTTTAGAGTAGGGTTCTCGGTCTCACGGCGAAATCATTGCTCACGGTACTCCGTAAAATGAGAATGTTATGCAGGGTGCTCGAAGTTATCTGTCCAGTCATGTTTATTGCCTGTTGTGGGTTGGGTCTTGGAGGCTTCATCAGTCGGGCTTGCCGCTCCATGAGCTCTACACTGCGAAACTCTAAGGCTGTAGCCGGCTCCGTCGTAAAAACACTCTACTATACATGCCACTTCTGCATGTTAACCACGCTCTAAACCCACATAGAAATCCGGCGTAAATCCGGCGACAGCCTTTGCTAGCCGATGCCTCGGTGCTCAGCGGAACAGCAGGCCACTTCTTTGCAGAGCAGTGTGCCTTGCCGTCTGACAGGTACTTTAATGCTTGGCTTGAAGCTAGCACTTTGAAGATGCGCCACCTCTTGTCTCGGAGGCCTCAAAAGGTGGGATGAAGGTAGGTAGGATTAAGGATCCCTTATATAAGGACTCTTATTTGGGAATATCCCACCTACCTTCATCCCACCTTTTGAGGCCTCCGATTGTCCAACCCGCAAGGTACTGGGGAGGCGGCCGAGGAGAGTTCAGGCTTCGGCGTTGGGCATGCTGGGGACTTGTGCTCGGAGATCCCACTTCTTACCGCTGGTTAGTAGGGAATGGAAGAATGGTAGTAATAGTAGTTATAATTGTACCCCATTCCTCCATTCCCTACTATCCAACGGTGAGACTTTAGGCAGTGCGGGCGGGAAGTTTTCCGGTTCAACCACGGTAACACTGAGCTAAAGCAATGGAATTCTGTATAAAGACTGAATACTTCACCTTGCAGGCACATGCAGAAAGGACGACCCAAGAACACATACACTCCTGCCCCCAGCAGCTACCGAAACATGGCGATGCAGTTTGGGTGGCACATAGACGCGTCCATGTACACGTGCAGCAAGTTCGTAGGTGCATCTGGTCATCTATATGGGCGCAGTAAGAGAGAGAGAGAGAGAGAGAGAGTGATCGAGATCGAGAGAGAGACAGACAGCGACGAAAGGGAGTGAGATAGAAAAGGGTTAGAAAAGGGACAGAGACGGGTCCACAGGTAGACAAAATTACAGCACAGACACAACTCCACATTCGTGGTAAGAACAGCTTGAACCTGGCCTTTCTAGATCAGAGAGCGCTGAGAGGGAGACAAGGCGAGCCTCAGAAGGAGATTGAGAGAGACGACAGCCAGAGCCTGCATGAGTGAGAATTCTCGTGGCAAGTGGCGCAGCTTGTCTTTGCTGTGATTGGACGCCAGCTGTCCAATGCGGAGCCTGAGCGAGAGTTGCCATGTCTTCCCAACGAAAGGACCATTTTACTGTATACCCCAAAGCCACATCCTTACTGTCAAGTTTCATGTTTTTATGGGCCAGTGCTTCAGAACCTGGCCTTGACGGAGGGCGATTCTGTAACTGGGGTTGGGTGGTACGGTAGGGGTAAAGCCAAGTGCAGAACCTCAAACCATGGCGGGTCGCCACAACAAGCAGCCAAGAAGAACAGAGCGACACTTCATAAAACAAAACCACTCACAACTGATGTCCCATACATATGACAACTTGGCCGCTTCTGCTTCTTAGGCTGCTCTGCATCCAATGTTGGTAGTGAAAGGGACACCAAAGGTCCCTGACGCCAGTACTTTTGGCAATGCTGCGTGCGACGAACTGCCTTCACCACCCGTTCTCAGGCGAATAAGACTGCAAGTGTTGTTGTTTGCTTGTCGGCCTGATTGCTTGCTCTGCTCGTCCTTTGGGCGTGGCGATTTGCAGCTGTTATCCCCAGTCTCACTCTACCATGACTTCTGTACTCAGCAGCGGCACGAAGCTTGGTCGACCCTGCAAACGTTACTGCCAGACGTGGTGTGAGCTATTGACAAAGGGCTTCCCTCTACACAGCCGAGACTCAGCGACACATCCAACATCGAAAGATGCGGAGCGGATGGCGCCGGCCTCTGCTGTTCACGGGCTTCGATTGCAAGTGCTTTGCTGCAAAATGTCCACGGAAGGCCACTGCAGCACTATACGTAACTCATTTTTACGCGGGCTGCGTCCCGCCCCCCCCCCCCCCGGCGAGTGTCTGCCCTGCCCGCTTTTCCTCCTCTCCGCCTCGTTTGTCGAGTAGTTCGGATCCCGGGACTGTTTTCGGGGCGGCACTCACGCTTGCTGTTAAAAGAGGATTAAGGTCCTGGCTTGGACTACAGGGAACAGGGACTACAGCTAGTATCCCAGTGCACACACATTTGAGCAGCCTTTGCTCAGTCTTGATATGGGACCAACTCACGTGCTGATAAGGAACCTGACCGAAGTTCAACTCCCAAGGGAGACGGCATCACAAAACTCTTGACGTCGCTGGTTAGACTTCTGGCTAGGCCACATTCTTCGATCAGAGTCTGAACCTTTGCACAAGGTGCTTGTAGTCTTCAGTGTTATAGTGGCAATCCTGAAGCTTGGACGTCCAAGCGGCTCCGACAGCCTTTGATAGACCTGCCCCAGATGCGGTTCTTTTGTAAATTTCTTCGCTGAGACGAGGTTAGGACCCTGGGCGCTGACCGAAGCCTAAGTATGCTCAGCACTACGTACCTGGAAACGCAAGTTGCAGCACCGGCGGAAAAGAGGCATCGGGACAAGTGTTAGTTCTAGCATTGCTGGAATTATACTGGAACTAGCATTAGTGGTGGTGGTGGTAGTGTTGAGGTTAATCTGCAGGTTCGCAATTAGCACTAGTGCACTAGTATTGCTACTAGTACGTCACGCTCTCCGGCCTGGCGTGATGCTGCCGCGCGCGTCGCTTCCGTCGTATCCTTCATGGCTTGTGAACTTGAATCTTTAGCATGATTGTGTTCAGATCTGGAGCCTGTCGGTTCGGAAATTCGGGGTCCATTGGCGAGCTAAAACCTCAAGAACAGGCTGCTTTGTATCAGGGCCTCTCGGGGATGTTCGAAAGTCTGCACCTTTGGAGATCAACCCATACGGATCACAAGGGAGAGAGAGAACCATGCTGTCATGCTTTGATAATGCATCATAAAATCTTCTGGAAGGCACGTTTCAATTCAATGTCTAAACACAAGAGCATGCAGCAAGACGTCACACACGTGTTGCTGTCCGTGCATGTTGACATGTTTGTACATACATATACATGGTACATATACACATACTGTTACAATCTTTCACATGTACGTTTACTTCTACACATACGTCTGCATGCATTTTCCCGTCACGAAAGGGAGCGCACAGCTCGGCCCGCTGGGAAAACGTTGACGTTGAAATTGAACCAGGTTTCAGTACAATCCGGGTACAACCAGATGTCGGCCGAATTCGAACGGTACAGGGATTGACTGAACTAAGCAGAACTGAAGCTTCCTCGTTGGGGGGAGCAGTATTGAGGGTGGTATCTTTCCCGGAGGGGCGGTCGGATGCCTGAGCACAAGAGACCGCACTTTATTTCGACACCTCCCTGTATCCCTAAGAAGCAGGGACCGTGGCGGGCTCCTGGGGGCTTCAAAATTGAGGCTCCAAAGTCCACAATACCCGTGTAAACCGATGCCAAGAAGCTGGTATGTGCCGGTAGGCCGCGTAGAGTTTGACCATCCGGTTCCGCCAGTTTGCAGGATAAAATGTTTTGTGCCCAGGGTTGCAGTGGACCTGAGCAGAGCATCAGGTCGAGAGTCTTGAGGGTAAGCGCTTCAGGGCTTCTTTTGCCTCATCATAAGAGCCATGCTTTAGAAGTGCAGTTCTTATGAAGCTCAGCAGGTTTCCTTTGTGGTCGAAACTCCAAACAAGTAGCTAACAATATTCGACGTGAGCACAGAGAACACAGCAACGTTTTGGCTACAGGTCCTGCCTGTCAACTTTCGGTCCACTGGCAGACCCGAGCTGGTTCGGGAATGTGCTGCAGTGGCCATGATTGGTGGCTTACTGCGTGGTTGTGGGTCGTGCCGAGCAGATGCTACGGCTCTGTCCGACTACGTACCGTTGATGAACAAGAGCACTTTGTCCTCCAGGCTAGAAGGCTCTGCAAAGTGTTCGATCGCAGCACATCCATCTCAAGAAGGAGCCCTTTATCGCTTGAGCTGCAACCTCAACACCAAGTCCGGGGAAACAAAACACCCAATGCAAAGCAAGCTGTAAGGATTCCTCGAATTCCTCTTCGCGCCTCTTCCAGCTGCTTAGGTGTACGACTTGGTGTCCACAGTTCTTCGGCATTTCAGTGTAATTGTGATTACCGCCTTTTTTTACCCAAGCGTCTAACACCAAACCCCTACACTCGATGCTCCTACGCCTATGGCTTATATATGCTCTCCAAACCAGATCCGGTCCCACACCATCTATGTATCCAAAACCGCTATGCGACTAAACCCCAAGCCCAAACCACTACTTAAATGATGTAGGAGCCTTAATAATTAGAATATGGTTTCGGGGCCCATTCTACTACAATCATAAACAGGAACCCCTTAAATATTGGTGGCAATTGTATCAAGCCCCACAACCCTGTCCGCAGATGGTACAGGGCTTGGGGCTTGAGACGACTGAGGCGCAAACCCAGTGTCTGTCGGAGAACCTTCCGACCGGCTTCAGTCGTTGTTTTGACAAATATTTATAAACATCAATAATAACAATGATAAAAGTAAATTTGCAATAAGTATCACTGCACTTTACATCCGTAAGCGGGGTGCAGGTAGCACCCTCTTGCCTCCTGCAGATCCTCCTGCTGCAGATGTACAAGCGCGAAGTTTAAATAACCCTAGACAACCCCTGCCCCAGCAATGCAAGCCCTGAAGCTGCATCAACATTCGATAAACTCCCGAGAAACCCAAACGGTTGTCAGAGCCTGGAGGACTGCACATGCTTCCTGACAGCTGTCTCGGTCCCGTGAAGTGCAACGAGGCAGGTGGCATTTTCATGTTCCTCAGCTCTTCGATGTGAATCGTTCTTGCTCGGGAATGTTGGATATTTGGGCCGTGAGGGAGCGACTGAGAGATCAGAGATCGTTGTTCCCGTGCTTGACTATGCCGGCTCCAGAGTATGGGGTTTACAGTAGAAGCCAGAAAGTTGGAATATAATTATCCTAACCCCTTTGAGGTAAATTATAAGGTATCCTACCCTAAAACCATATTCCAACTTTCTGGAGTTTCCTTTAAGGCTTTGGGATTTAGTGCTCTACGGCCCCGGTCAGAAGTCTGAAATGAAACGAGACACACTTGCAGAATACAGGGGCCTTCATAATCCCTAAACCCCTAAACCCTAAACCCATAGTAAGTAGATTATGTGCGGAAATGTAAGGGAACAGGACTTCAGGCTTCTCCAGTAGACACCATTGAGTATGTCTTGTCTCTGCTGGCATACAGGGTGAAGAGATGTCGAGTAGATATCTTACCGAAAGAAACACAGAAGGGGTAAGATTGGAATCATGGGCGATTTGCCCACAGTACCAGACCTTCTCGGTTTTGAAATCTTTGAACACTGGTAAGCCATAGAGACGAAGCTCAGGTAATGGGAGTTTTCCGTTCGTCTCTAATACCGAACGCTGTTGGATTTGCAGACTGGATGATATGCCTCAAAATTATGTACGATATTCCAAACAATATATGAAACAACAAGTGAAATGCCAGCTAATACATCCATGCATCCATGCATCCGTGCATCCATCCATCCATCCATCCATCCATTCATCCATCCATCCATCGATCCATCCATCCATCCATGCATGCATCCATCCATGCATCCATCCATCCATCCATCCGTCCATCCGTCCATCCGTCCATCCGTCCATCCGTCCATCCGTCCATCCGTCCATCCGTCCATCCATCCATACATGCACACTTACATATACGATTGATACATACACTATATATATATATATAGATATATACACACACACCGTATACTACCATCTGATAGTGTGGAAAACCTTTCGCAATGTATTAGATGGAACACTACAATGTAGCATACCATGAACCCAAACACACTGTAGTGTAAAATAGCATAGTATGATATGAGATAGTGGGGAATTATGTGGTCTAGCATAATGTTATAAGTTAAAGAATAGGAGATAATACAGTCAAACAGACTTCAATAGATTTTCATCATACAAACAGTAAAGCCATGTGTTACAATATATTTCCATACAACATACACTTTAAGATAGCAAACACAACACAATATACAATCAGTGTGAAAAATGTAGAAGATGGTATGATACGATCCAGTAAGTAGAATACAGTATAATAGCCCATAATATGCTGTAATGTCATAGAAACAGTCTAATGTGAAACAACACTGTACAAATATATTATACCAGGAAATACATAATTTGAGATACTTGTACGTAAACATAATTTGAGATACGTGTACGTAATTATGTATCTAATAGGATATAACATACAATATGAAATAGCATAATAAAATAGTTAGATGGTAGTACCGTTTCATGCATGAATGATATCACACACTATGGTAAAGTAAGGTTTGATCTAGCCAAGTGCTATATGACACTATAGTAGAAAGCCTGCCTTCGCGAAGTGTTTCTTCGCTCTGAAAACACTAGCACACAAGCAGCCGGGATGGAGTTTGAACTGATACGCAAAAAAATACACATGGCAGCATCGGAAGCGCCGAGACATCGTGTTGGTACTTGGACACTCTGCTGTTGGGCTCTTATAATTTAGAACAAAACCGCACCGGGTTAAGCCTGCTTCCTCAAGGACATGGGTCGTCCCCATGTCTCTACGAGATCCTCCGCCTGCTCGAACTACGCCTGCTCGAACTACGGGACTGTGCTGTTCTTGCTGAGTCCCTGAACCCTAAACTCGAAGCTGCAGACACGTTGCATGCCGTGCAAGCCATTTCGAACTTCAAGCCTATCAAACTAGCATAGTATAGTATAGGCGCCACACAACCAAGCTCGAAGCTTCAGATGGTTCCGAAAAGGCATGCTTCCTAGCCTTCTCAAGCGCAAATCCTGTGTTGAGGAAAGCCACTTTGGACACAGCGCAAGTAGGCTCGGAGAACCACGTCGTGGGGCATATGGAAGTCTCATCGCCTCAGGAACAATTCTGCCAAGTTGACAGAGGGGTTTCAAGGCCGAGGGTTCGTGGGCTTCGGTCGAATTCGAAGCCGCTCGCATATTCAGGAGGTTTATTCTCTGTCAGGAACCGAAGATAAAAAGACCAGGCTATTGGAGCGGGAGCCCCTGGACTAGCAGAGTGACTTACAAGTAACCTAACGTGGAGCAAGACCAAAGCTGAGATCAGCCCTCGACAGCAAATCACTCTGTCCTGCCCACGCCAGCATGGCCAGGGTTGTAAGTGGCGTCCACAAGATGGGGAATTGCTAACTCCGTAGATGTTCCTGCAAGTACTACATCGTGCGGGTTGCTGGTGCTTCATAAACCAGCCAGAATCCTCATAATAATTGCCGTATGTTATACTAGAATGTTTTTTTGGGATTGACGGGGCGTGAGTGTTACCATATCACACGAGGGAGTCTAGCATCTCAGGGCGACTACAGTACGACTCAACTCCTGTCCTCTTTGGTTTTCAGGTATACGGTATACAAACGTTCGTGATCCGGCACCGCTGCTTCTGTTCGGCACGTGCAAATGACACAGATGTCTCCAGCCAAGATGCAAAGCCACCAGCAGAACGGAGTCCTGTCTTGCATGTGCACCACGCTCACCTTGGCTAGAGGGCTCGGGGAGCTGTCTGCGCCTTTCCCTGCCCTGCCTTCCCTTTTTCCCCTCCGACCCTCCCACAATTCGCTTGAGAATATCTTGGTACTGTGCCTTCTCGTTTGATACTTTACGTGCGTGCTGAGCGGGTGCAACTCTGATAACCATTCATGGAATTCGGACCAGCAATACAGCATACACGCCCGAAAAAAGGAAGAGGCAGCCAGTATAGTGAAGAAAAGTTGGTCAAACACAGTACATCCAACCCTTTCCAGGAAGTCAACCTTGCATAAGAAACCTTGGGCCTTTATTAGGATTCCTTATATGAGTCCTACGTACTATTTTAGGGGTTATAGGCCTAGGGTTTCTTTTACATCATCGTCCTGACGCTTGTCGGTTCGTGGCGCACACCACGAACCGAGACTTCTCCATACCACAGAAACGAAACCAAAGGGTCGCTTTGTAAAGGCCCCTGCAAACGACCTCCGCAGCCCAGACACTGGCCAACGAAAGCCGAGACGCTTCACACTCCTCGGCGTTCTCGAAGCCTGCCCGGATCCCACAACTGGGGGGTTCCAGTGCAATGTGGTGTTGCAAGGTACATATTCTTCGATAGTTACGGCAGTCGTAGAAGAGCAAGGAACTCTTAGGAATGGCATTGGTAAGGCTTCACTTTTTTTCTCTCAAGGGTCTTTCTTCGAGGACAAGTCCTGGGTCGTAGATTTGATGGACTCGCGCAGATGCCACCCCGAAACCGTTGTCGTTGTTCTTAGCACTGTTAGCAGCATCATTGCTTACTTGGACCATAAGTAGCAGTGCATTGAGTGGTTGGTGACAGCTTTTGGTCATGCAGCTTTTGGTGTCGATGCTGCTGTTGTTGATGTTGTTGTTGCTGCTGGTGGTGGTGCTGTTGCTCTTGCTGCTGTTGTTGGTATTGGTGCTGGCGATGGTGGCGATAGTGTTGTTGGTGACTCTCGTTGTCGTCGCTGTTGTTGTCATCCTCTTCCTCCTGCCCCTCCTACAGCAGGGACGACTACTACTGCTGCTGCTACAACGACAACGACTACTAGTAGCAGTAGTAGTCGTAGTAGTCGTCGTAGTAGTAGTGGAAGTAGCAGTGGTAGTGGTAGTAGTGGTAGTGATAGTGGTAGTAGTGGTAGTGGTAGTGGTATTAGTGGTAGTCGTAGTGGTAGTCGTAGTCGTAGTAGTAGTAGTAGTAGTAGTAGTAGTAGCAGTAGTAGTAGTAGCAGTAGTAGTAGTAGTAGTACTAATAGTAGTAGTAATTTTAGTAGTAGTAGTAGTAGTAGCAGTAGCAGTAGCAGTAGTAGTAGTAGTAGTAGTAGTAGTAGTAGTAGTAGTAGTAGTAGTAGTAGTGTAGTGGTAGTGGTAGTGGTAGTGGTAGTGGTAGTAGTGGTAGTGGTAGTGGTAGTAGTAGTAGTAGTAGTAGTAGTAGTAGTAGTAGTAGTAGTAGTAGTAGTAGTAGTAGTAGTAGTAGTAGTAGTAGTAGCAGCAGTAGTAGTAGTAGTAGTAGTAGTCGTAGTAGTAGCAGTAGTAATAGTAGTAATAGTAGTAGGAGTAGTAGTAGTAGTAGTAGTAGTAGTAGTAGTAGTAGAAGAAGAAGAAGTAGGAGTAGTACTAGTAGTAGTAGTAGTAGTAGTAGTAGTAGTAGCAGTAGCAGTAGTAGTAGTAGTAGTAGTAGTAGTAGTAGTAGTAGTAGTAGTAGTAGTAGTAGTAGTACTAGTAGTAGTAGTAGTAGTAGTAGTAGTAGTAGTAGTAGTAGTAGTCGTCGTCGTAGTTGCAGCGGTAGTAGTAGTATTAGTAGTAGCAGTGGTAGCAGTAGTAGTAGTAGTAGTACTACTACTACTACTGCTACTACTACTACTACTACTACTACTACTACTACTACTACTACTACTACTACTAGTACTACTGCTATTACCACCGGTCACCACTACCACCACCCAGACATGCCGACAAAGCACTCGTAGCAACAGACGATCGAGCTAGGTACAGGCAATCAGCCTCAGCCAAACCGCACGCCCAGAAGCAAACAGACAGCCAGACACACAGGCAGAGGGAACAGAATCAACAAACATGTGCGGACACCAATCTTTTGTCACAGGCAGGCAGCATCAGGGAAAAGGCACACACACACACACGCACGCACATCAACACAACTTTCCAAAGATGGACACCAAACCGCACAAGTACGTACACGCACACGAACACGACCCGCTGGCACGCACACACAATGCACGCCGCCCAGCTGAACCTGGGTGCGACGGTATGTATGCTGTCCTGCACGCAATCCCAACCCCTGCGCCCGATGCAGCCCCAGTAGCCACCGGTATCATATTGTGAATCCGCTTATCAACTTGCAAAGATGCAGCTGAACAACCCAAACAAAAGCAGAAGTATGTCCCGTCGCCCGGCCTGCTTTCAAGAGGCAAAGCGAGTAGTCTTTGAGGCACGATTGGTCATGATCCATTTCGCACTGTCTCTTCGTGTTTGCATGTATGAGCATTTTGCTCTCCACCTCGTCTGTGACTGGACGGAGCAACTAAAAGAGCTCGCACACCCACACCCTCAAAAGGAGGTTAACAGATTCCACTTCGAGAGCTGGAATGATACAACACCCACCAACATGTGTACATCATATCCCTCTTTGCATGATGTGGAGACTTGCTGGGAACTAGGAACATGACTTGGGCTGAATGAGTTTAATGTTAAGCATATCCGAAAACCATCCGAGGAACCAGCTCATGTTTGTAGTCGCCAGCACGCTATTCATCATCAAGTTCGTCGTGGCTGGTCGGCAGCGCAGACAACTGTTCCGAGAATACGACGACCAGGGATGCCAGCTAAATACACTTATGAAGTTATCAACTTTCGTCGATGCTGAACTATATCATACAAGATCTTTCTAGGGCTTTGTAATTGCACTTTGCTCCTTCATCGGCTTGCACGAATCCGAATGCTAGCTGTTCTTGCTGAAAGCCCTAACCCCCTAAACCCTAGACCCCAAATAAACCCCTAAACCCTAAATAAACCCCTAAACCCTAACCCTGAACCCTCACAGCGTTCACATGCTGCCGTGCTGCGAGCTCGAGACCCTGAGCTGAGTCCTGATGGACGGCCCTACAAGGTTACTATAAGGGTTATACTATAGGGGTTTAGAGTTCTTAGTAGACTGTCTGGTCCTTAGTAGGGAATGGAGGAATGGGTTATAGGGCCTACTATTGGGGATTACATAGGGACTACTATTCGGCTCCATTCCCCCATCCCCTACTAAGCACCAGGGACGCGAGGAGGGCTGCGACTCCAGAAGCTCAGGTACTCTTCGCGCGACTTTGAGACTATAGTTGTGTGTCGACGATTTCACCAGTTCCGAAAACTATCCATATTGAGGGCTCTGTATTGAACAATAAGGGAAATTAACAGTCACCCCAAATCGATACCCAGTATAGTGGTAACTAGCTGCGCTAGGCTAGCAACTTACGTGAAGAGAACTTAGCGGCGGAAGCAGCAGTGGCAGCCTTCAAGCCTGATTCGTGATTTGGGGTGACAGTGTTTGAGTGTTGGATGTCGACGTTCTAGCCAAGGTTTTTAGCTGCCGCTGACAGAAGTACTGAAACCTAAACCGCTTTTCTCCCTGATCCCCAGCACCTATGAACCGCAGTTTAGTTAAGACAAAAGCAGGCCTCATCTTTCGCTGTTTCGGACACCATGTCCGTGAGAGAGCGGGCGGAGTGGAGCTGGCAGAGGGTGCGGGGAGCAACATTTCGGGGCTCTGGTGTAAGCAAAGGGTTCTTTTGCGTAGAGCTTTGGGTTTTGATGGTTGGCTCCCTAATGTAGAGACCTTGCTGATATAATGATAATGCATTCTCAGCAACCCTGAGGACTGGCCCCCAGGGTTAGGTTCGTCAGCTGGCTCTTTTCTCGTGTCAATAAAACTGGGTTCTAGGGCTAGTTAGGCTTAGTGGCTAGACCCTAATCCTGAACCCACAAACCCTAAACCGCATACCCCTAAACTCAACACCCTTTAGGGTTTAGGGTCGGAGCTTCTGTCTGGAACTTCAGGAAACGCGTTTCGAGGTCAAGACAAATTGGGCCTGCAACATGAGATCTTTCTACTACAAGGATGCACATGATAATAATTATGCTCATAACAATAACAATAATAAGAAGAAAATGCAAGTCGAATAGAGTAATGCTGGATTTAGACCGAGGAGCCGTAAGGAATAACACTGGTAACGCAGGCCCCCAGAAAGATGCGACACAAAAGCCGAAACCCACAGGAAGGGGGGGGCGCCTTTTCACTCCAGCGTAGCAGACGCCAGGTAGCTGCCTACGATCCGTGCTAAGGGCTTGAATAAGGTTTAGGGTTTAGGGGCTTGATTAGGGGTTTAGGGTTTAGGGGCTTGATTAGGGGTTTAGGATTTAGGGGCTTGATTAAGGTTTAGGGTTTAGGGGCTTGATTAAGGTTCAGGGTTTGGGGTTTATGGGTTTGATTAAGGTTTAGGGTTTAGGGTTCAGGGGCTTGATTAAGGGTTAGGGTTTAGAGGCTTCCTGAAGGGTTAGGGTTTAGGGTTTAGGGGCTTGATTAAGGTTTAGGGTTTATAGGGCTTGATCAGGGTTCAGGTTAATGACTGAGGTAGAGTTTCGAAACTCGAACCCTGAAGCCCAAGGCCTAAACCCATTGGGGTTTGGGGCTTGGGATCTAAAGTAGAAACCAGAAAGTTGGAACTTCATAGTCCTGAGGCCTTTAAGATCAAGTATAGGGAACCCGAGTCATTATCCCTAACCCACATTTCGAGTTTATGGCACTTTATGGGGCTCACTGTAAGGTCTGAAACCTCCAAGTCTTCCCAAAAATCAAACAGAGCGCGCGGCCAACTACACACAGCTTGTAGTAAACGGTAACAAGGTTGGTAAATCGAGCCCTAAACATATAAGAAGACTAGTGACCCAATCAGGATCTGCCTGCCTGGACAGCTGTGATTACTTCTTCTAGAACAGCTGCCTGTAGCATACATGTCCCATGACCTGCTTCAACCCTCAGAAGCACACCTCCAATCCCAATCAAATTTTATATGCACAGCTAAGCGACCCAAACCCTGAATCCAGGCGCTGAGGCGACCTTGTCTAGTGCATCCTTAACTCCCGGAAACTGCCAAAGGTCCAAACCTGAGCCGTAATCTCACAGAGCCCGAAAATCCACAAACCCAAAGATCTCCTCGAAGAAGAACTTAAAGGCTTAAGTAGCAGCTCAGTAATTCTCAGAGCTTGGATGGCTGTTGAGCAGTGGTAACCTGCAGGTTGATGCGTGACGATCCGCTGAGTTGCACTGCCAAAGAATGCAACTTAGCTTGGATTCCTTTCTGTTGGGCACGGGCTTATCACTCCAAGACTACAAGTACCGTCAAAGCAGCGTCTCACGAGAGCGCAGTCTTTTCTGGGACGCATCAATCCTGATTTTGTGAGTGCTGCAGCTGTCTGGTCGCGGCAAAATGCAGGAGGTGTAGCTTAAACCCTGAACGAATTAAACCCTTGCAGCTAGATAATCTCATACACTATTTTGGGGGGTCTGTATTGTAATAGTTATAGTATACCATACCCCAAAACCCATTAGGAACCCTAAGAACCCTAAACCAACAGCCCCCGGCCAGTATGGACATGGCCCCTCTTAGGGTTTAGGCTTCAGAGTGTAGGGTAGGGTTTAGGGTTTAGGGTTTAGGGTGTAGGGTTTGGGCTTAAGGAACCATAACAAAAAGAATTCCTAAGGAGACTATAGTTAGTGTCCGACTCTCTTCGGCCTGATTTGCACATTTTCTGGAAGGCCCGAGGTGGCTCTCTTTTGGATCTTCCGCATCATGGATAATGCGAATCGAAGGCGTGTCATTCTTGTGACTGTGAAGAGAAGGAAGGTTCCGAACAGTGCGACCCCACGCAGGCTGCAGCACTCTTAAAGACTCTTGAGGCAATACCAGCTGCCGGGACCTCATGACCCGTTAAGCAAGATGCCTCATCGGTGTCGACTGCAAGCGTGTGCCAGTACAGCCAACCGCTGTACTAGCTTCTGTCTCAAAGCAGCCCTAAACCCAAAACCCTAAGCTCTTTAAGCTCCGGTTCAAACACGAAGCCACAAAGTAAAACCCTAAATCCTCAGCGAAGTCTTCAGCTCCGCGGATCGTGCGGCAGGCTCTTCATTTGTCCCTGCGACGCCGTGCAACGAGGACCACGGCAAGCGCCGTTGCGGCAACGCCGAGGGCAACAGCCTCAATTGACTCAAACTTGCTGGGTCAGGATTGAGATCAGGTTCCTTGGGGCTTGCGGCTTGGGGAACTGTGCAAATGCCAGTGGGCAGCAACAACTGAATCAGATAAAGAATGTCTGCACGAGGCACGGCGGGCCCGAACCAGGCAACTAACATGGTGATACTGGGCTTGAACTTCTGACTTCTGAGACTGCAGAGTCTTGCGAGCTCAAGATCAGGAAGAGACCATGGCAGCATAATACAGGGGCCTTCAAATTTGGAATAGGATTTTGGGGGCTTGTTCCACTATAACTTTGAAAAGGTTTTGCTTAGCACTACAGCCCATGGGACGGACTCACGTCGGCACGTCGGCGCGGGCCCTAAAGCGTTCTTTGTTGCGCTGCCTCATGAAACTGCTTGCGCTGAAAAGGATAAGGGTCCATGTACTCATATGGAATGTCTAACATACTCCAGCCTTGAAGTAATCCATCAGTCTCATGCACTCTTGGCAAGGAGCACTCAGCCCGGTCAATCCCAGAATTCCTTCGCTGTTTCGTCCCGTGTTCGATTCACGGTAATCGCCACATCCGTACAATTCCTTACTCCGTGTGCTGAAGGACCCAGCACCAAACTTAATCCGAAACGAGGGGCAACCCCCAGCCGACTGGACTTCTGCCGCCGGTAGCGGCCTACTGGAGGACCGTCCAGTGCACGCACGGCATACTCCTGAGCAGTTTGGAAGGAGGGAGACGGAACGAGCCTTTCGGATGTCTGTGCCACGTTTCGACATACAGGGTGCGGAGTTTGGGACTTAGGCCACCGGCAAGAAGTAGGTTGCAAGTCTGTATCCAACACCTTCCTCAAATTATCACACACCGCCCGGAACTCAGGACAGGTCAAAATACTCAAATGGACTGCCTAGAATCCGGAAAAGGCATCCCGAGTTCTGAGAAACTTAACATGTTGATCGTGCTGACATGGACGCCTTCCATTCGAACACGCTGAGCTCTTTCAGTGCAGCAAGCTCTTTCAACTCCTTCTCTGTGCCCATGAACTCCTCGCCGGCTAGGCAATGGATCAGGGTGCTGTATCGGGTTATTTGGCTGTAAGCGGCTCCGAAATTGATTTTCGAGACCCTTGCCAGAGCTTTGAGGTTTGCATTTTAGGGGGTTCCGGTATCTGGCTGCCAGAGCAGGTGAAAACCTATGACCAGTCCCGATGATGACAACGGAAAACCGACAGCAAGTGCCGATCGTGGGCAATCTGGGACCTTCACTGATACAACACGGTACCCATCTGGTTGACGCAAATCATGATGTGGGTTTGGCCTTATTGAAGTGAGTGTTCGGGGTGCTGGGGTGCACATGACCACATGCAGTCTCTTCCGAAGGCGTATACATACTACATGCGTCCATGCATCCATCCGTCCATCCATCCATCCACGTATACATAAAGACATACATTCATAGACATATCCATGCAAGAGTGCATACATACATACATACATGCATACATGCATACATACATACCTACGTACGTACATACATACAAACATGCATACAGGCCGACAGACACACATGCACGATGTATTGATACATAAATCCATGCATGCATGCGTGCATGCATCCATGCGGACATATACACACACGTACACATGTACATACTGAAGCATATACAGATGTACATATGAAGACTGTTGTCGCGAACATGAAACGAACGCACGCATGGTGTATGCCTGTACACGCAAAAACAACACAGCACATCATGTCATGACAGAACACAAAACCCGACATAACATGGCATGGTAGGCCAAGTCATGGCATGACATAGCATTTTGTGACATGTAACGGTGCATTAACATCAGTACACGACACAACACCGCACACAGTAGTAGCTGCAACAAAGCACGGCACGACATACCATGCTAGAGCGGACAGGAATGCCTGCACATAAAACTCGTTCATACATGCGTGCATACATACATCACGACAAGCTGCTCGATAAACAAAAGGACAAGCTGCAGATGTGTAACGACTATAGAAAAGTAGTGGCAGCTGATGCCTCCTTGCGGACGACGGGTGTGTGCCCATCTTTTACGGCTTCTCGGGCACGCATGAGGTACTCCATTGCCACCTGCCGGAATCTTGACCTACCGGCTGAACCATCATATACTCTCATCACGTGACAACTGATTTTTGCAGTTTACTACGTTTGATTGTCACATGTTCAGTCCTGGCCTTCTGCAGGAAAACTGCATGTCTGAGCGTTTGCAAGTCAAAAGCGTCGGAAGCACTGCAAATGTGAAGACATCACTCGTGGGAGGACTCAACACTTTGGGCACAACTCGTCAGACGAGTCTTGTACCCATCTTCCGGCTTCCGTATATGCTTCAAGGGTTGAGGATTAACTCTGGTTAAAAATCTCGAAGTCAACCCTGAGCAGGCGATAAAATCCGAAAGCTTGGGCATGTCTGGAGCTTGCCGAGCAGGGTTCCTCAACCCGTGATTCCGGAAAATGCCACATTGCATCGGGACATGTGGATTGCATCTCCCACCACCACCACCACCACCACCACTACCACTACAAGACTACCTCACTACCACCACCACTGCTCCTGCTACTTGTACTCCTGCTACTCCTACTACTCCTACTACTCCTGCTGTCCTACTACTCCTGCAACTCCTACTACTCCTACTACTCCGACTACTCCTACTACTCCTACTACTCAAGTTACTACTCCTACTCCTCCTACTCCTACTGCTCCTACTCTGCTCCTACTCTGTTCCTACCCCTACCCCCCTACCCCTTCCCCTACCCCTACCCCTGCCCCTACTCCTACTCCTACTCCTACTCCTACTCCTACTCCTACTCCTACGCCTACTCCTACTCCTACGCCTACTCCTACTCCTACTCCTACTCCTACTCCTACTCCTACGCCTACTCCTACTCCTACTACGACTACTACTACCACCACTACTATTCCTGACGCTGTCGCTATCGCAGAGACTGATGTTAACCATTGCTGGCTTTCTTTCGTGACAAATCTGCGCTTATCACATCAGAGGCATCGGGTTCAGGGCCGGCTCAGGGACGAGAGGCTGAGACTCAGCCAGGAGATCATAAACACCCAAAGCCTAACCTTAATCCCTAAACTCTAAACCTTCAAACCCTAACCTCGCTAAACGGTAGCTTCGGCGGTCGAGGCGAAAACACGTGCTTGGAACAGTCGAATGTTTCGTCCACCGAGGAACGCCGTACATGCTAAACCCTAAAGACGAAGAACAAAAAACCCAAAACTGACGGGCTCAAACCCTACAGCAGAAGCCCCAAAAACCATGAGGGGATAACTACCAACACTAGTTTCCGGAGCTCCTAAACCCTAAACCCCTAAACCCTAAACTCTAAACCCCTAAACCCTAAACCCTGCCTTCCGATTGCCATAGAGTAGCGAGCTGACCCTAGCCAGAGTCCAGTCTGGACACGGCCGCACTATGAGCCGCAAAACGTCGCCATCGCAGAGGTTCCCAGGAACCAGTGTGCCTGGATTGAAGTGGCTTTAGACTTTGCACCTCAACACCGAAGACAGTCCTCGACGAGGAACCCCTGTATTTAGAAAGTTCATACTCATATAATTGTGTATATACAATTCGTATGTAGTTAAAAAATGCTTGTTCACGTCTGATATATGTATGTATACATACATATATATATATATATATATATATATATATATGTATGCTTGTTGTTATTTGTTGGAGGAGCACTGAAGGCACAAGGGAGGAGATTTCGTCCCACCATGTGCAAAACAAAGACCTTTGTTTGTGCGTACACAGGACCCTTGAAAGCAACTCTTTGCTCAAGTTCCCCACGGTACGGACGAAGAATCCAGCCCTTCCTGTGCGGGCACAATGTGCACGTACGCCATCAGCAGTGAAGGTCTTCCCCAGCATCTGGTCCACTTTACCACAAGGGCAACGAGGGCAGGACACCTGCGATCGGCAATTCCAGCATGATACTAATTCCTAACTACTACAATGCTTCTATAGTAGAAGACGCAAGCCAGGCTCCTTCCTTTTAGAGTTCAGGGTTTAGAGGGTTTCGTGCTTTTGGCTTTCGAGTCTTTCGGATTTAAGTTTTAAGCTCGCATGTCTGAGAACCAAACGTGAAGGTTGAGGTATGAAGAGCAGAAGGCCTGAAGCTCCAAAGGCTGCTGAACTCCGTCACGCCAGCATCCGAACCTAGCTTGCGCACACGCAAGGAACGAAGCCCTAAGCCAGGGGTAAAGCTGTGAAAACAAGGTTCTGTTCTTCAATTAGAGACAAAACAGCAAAGAGAAAAGTTCACGAATCTCGCAGAGCCGGGAGCACGTCGCCGACGCATACAGTTTCTGCCTGCATGTCCAGGGTATCCAGGAAAAGGTTCTCACCGAAACATCCTGGCTTCAGCGACTCCTCGTCGAGGGCTTCGCGAAGGGAGAGGCCTGGAGAAAACGGAGGAGAAAAAGGAGCACCAGCAGCAGTGGCAGTAGCAGTAGCCGCAGCTGAAGCCGTAGCAGTATACGTTGCCGTACAGTATCCGGATTCCTGGTTGGGGGAGGTAAGCAGGAGCAGCGGCAGTGGCAGGCTGAGGAGGATGAGGAGATATCTGAATGTTATGACTTGCTGTGGTCTTGGTCCTTTTGCGCCACTACTTCTCTGTGGTTGTGGCACCTGGGCTTTACGAACTTGTACAGTGATGATGAACGGCAGATGCCTCGGCAGGGCTCGTCGGCGGCAGCTCTGTGACAGACTCTTGGTGGCGGTGACATAGAAGCTTGTTCGGTTCTTCGATAGCCCCCAAGCCAAATGAGGACGCGAAAAGAGAATTAAAAGCCGCACCAACGGCCCGCTCCGGCCCCTTCAAGTTTCTGCTCGAAGGAGCAAGACAGGCTTGTTGCTTACACAACGCAAAAACAAGACCACAACAAGGGTTGCCCAAGCCCGAATCTCGTTCGTTATGACCACCGGTAGTGTCGCAATCTGACAGTATCGAAACCGTTGAACGTCCATCTTCCGCATCATATGCACAGGTTCGCAGAAGCAGGAAGCATGAATTAAACAGCCACAGTCAACTCAGGCCTGCATTCAGAAGGGCTTGCAAGTTTCCTTTCGTCTGCACCAGTATGGCTCGGTCTCCTGCATCTTCTGGTTGCCCCCCGGCCTTCGCTTGCAAGCTCGGATTCAGCACTTCGGCTCCCAGGTTAATGCTTCTTTGCAGGCGTCAAAAGCTCCGACTAGGAAGAAGGAACAGCCCAAGGCGTGAACTCCACCCGACCCCTCGTGTCCCATTCGCTCAGTTACTACTTGTACCATCGACCCCAGTGACACAAATCGGCCACTGCCCTAGGACGAAAGTCAGGCTTGGAAGTTGCACGTGATGAGCTTCGAAGCCTTCGTGAAACGAACGCTGTTGCCGAAGCTCACGGAGCTCTCCAGACCCTGAGGGCCGACGTTGACGGTCTCCTGCGAGTACATGCAGGCTCCTATAATATAGAAGGACATCAAAGGGACATCCTCATGAAGGGTTTCGATGAAAAGGGATACGGCGCCCCTCAACCCAGTCCAGACACTACATCGGCATCAGATATATGCTAGATAAGAAGGAACATGCTGCATGAAGAGCTGCACAAAAAGGTGTCGAACAACTTGAAACCAAAGGCGCAGTCGAATTTCGCAAACAGAGCCCCTGAATGCATTGTCGGGTGAACAATGCTAGCACTGTCGTGCTCTGATCCGTAGCAGTACAGATTAGATCCTGTCCCGGGGGACCCCTTCTCAGCTGAGCCAGAACCCTAAACCGTAACCCTAAACCACCCAAGCCCTAATTCTCATAAACCCTATGCGTGGTGCGACGAATGTTTGGTCTCAAGATCCCCCCCTTCCTGTTTGCAGCGGCTCCGCTGAAACAGCGGGCGCTTGGGGTTTATCTTACCCCCTGCAACCAGGTCGCCTCATGGCGGGACGTTTTGCGAAGTTAGAGGTTTACGGTGTGTAGGAGTGAGGGTATCAGGTTCATTCACATGGCACCAGGTACTTTAGTCTACATGTCGGACATTCGCGCGATGGGCTGCATGGCTGCACTTGGGATTAGGGTAACGCCTTTCCGTAGGGCTTAGGGTTTTAGGGTGCCGAGACGGTCGAACGTCCGTCTCTCATGACTGCACACGCCAATAACAGGAAAGCCAACTAAATCATGCAGCCAAACTCCCTGTCGCTCCGTGACCCATTCACCGAAACTTACCACCAAAGACATGCTCAGCTTCTCGTGTCTGCTGGACAAGTTGTATGCATCTGCATCTGTCTAGTTACTGTGTACAGTTACTGGGCAGACACGACTATCCATGGTCACAATTTCGCCAATACTAACATCCGCTTTTGTAATACTATTCTACCTTCTTTGCCAGACGAAGACAATTTTCCACGCAATACAGTAGCAGGGGAGAGTGGACAGAGTTCTCGTCGCAATTGGAGGAGCGGTTGTCGTACTCATCGTCGTCACTAGCAGTACAGTCTTTCTTGCTTGCAGCAAAATCCCAATCCAGTTCCCAGAACCCCCAACCCCTGAAACCTAAAACCCGGCTTGCGCTCAGAGCCTTCCTCTGGCTGCCGGACGAATCGGCAGGCCACTCGGGCTTCCAAAGGGACGACCATAGCTTGCTGTGATCCAAGGCTGTATCACTGAATCGCACCCTAAACCCCAATTTCCTGTAATGGATCGTAGCTTTTCGTGGGCTCTGAGATCTTTTGAGCCAGGTATACCGCGGCCGCACCCCGGCGGATGCACGTGCCAGCAACTTGCAGGGAAGTCTCAAAGGGCATAGGTAACGCAAAGCGGGCGCGCCAGGCTGAGACTAAAATCCTGGAACAACTGTATGTGTGCTACACAAACACATGGTTCTGCGCACAGGAGCTGAGTGTGTGTTTGCAATTTTTTTACGACCATTTATTGTAACCCAGCAACCTATTTGGGGAAATGGAGCCCGAAGATTTAAGGGTTTGTGGGTGTGAGCTTGAGCCCCGGGATGCTGAGGCTCCTTCGGCCCTTCGATCCGAACCAACAAATTGACAGAACAAAGAAGCTCTGAATGCCGGTGGCCATGAGTCCTCAACAATTCGGCGTTAGGCGAAATCGATCCGGCGGGTACCCTGCCCTTAGCCCTGCAAAACGCTCTCTCATTGCTCCTAAACTCCAATACCAATACCCGAAAGCCTTACACCCCAAACCCTAAATCATGAGCACCTGAACCCGAGATGTGCACTCCCTTAGATCCCCAGCTATGATGTAAGTGCTGAAGCTCAAACCCGACCCTAAACCCACGCTACTGTGAGGCACGGGGCACCTGAATGGCCACCTCGCAAGCAGTGCAAAGGTTTTCGGAGGCGCCTTCACGGCAAACCTGCATTGGCGGGCTCAGAGCTGAGGGTTTAAAGTAAAAGCCAGAAAGTTGGAATATGGTTTCAGGGTAGGATACCTTAGAATTTACCATGAAGGGCTTAGGATAATCATATTCCAACTTTCTGGCTTTTACTTTATGGCTTTTGGAGACTTACGGTCTAGGGTTTGCGGGCTAGGCGGCCAGGGTTTGGGATGGTTTGGGCTTCGAGGCCGCGTAGCTATAGCCATACTAACTTGGAACACCAATTAAGTAACGTTCAACCTTTTAAGTGTCCGCTGCTGCTCCAGGTCGGGTAAAGGCTCGGAGTGTGATCTAGGCTGTAGGTTTACGGACCCGGGCGATCAGCTGCCCGGAAGGAAGTTAGCCTTATCTTGACCCCCCACAAAACCAACCAACAAGCACCTTTGCGGCTCCTTTTTCCGATTTCCGTAGATCTGCGAAAGTATATGTCCTTGAATCAGTAGGTTGCCTGGGGTTAAGGTATGCTTTATGGCAGTAGGCTGCAGCACGCATCATATGTCATAGTACAAAGGCTCCCCTGACCCCGAAACCCTAGTCTTCAAGCTTTTCGACCTGGTTCCTGTATGCAGGTTTCAAGCACTGGCTTGGGGATTATGGACTCAAGTGACGAGAACTACAAAAAAGTGCTCGAAGTCTGTCGAATCCAGTGTTGCAGACTGAGAATTCCTTTCAGATCCGTTCCGGTGCAAAGATCTGTTTGCTCGCTCCAGCCCAAACGGCAATCAGAACTCCTACCCATACCCTAAACCCTTCATCTGTCTGCTTGGGATGTCCTAGCCTTGTCCTGGTTGAGAACGTCAGCCGGCTTTACGATCCTGATGCTAAGACGCATCGTGCACTCCACAGTTGGCAATAAAATATGGCAAATGTAATCCCTCCTAGCAGAGCCTCAGAAGCCTGAATTTATTGCGCATGACAACGGCAAAAACAGGTCTGTAGCAGAATGCAGACCGCCGAACCAAAAACTTGAGTGCCCTAGCCCTATTCGATTTCCTCATGATGATCATGATGAATACACTCAACATGCCAGCCACAATCATCATAATCGAAGCACTGACACTTGGTCATAACAGAGAGGCCTCCAAGCTCCATTCACAAGCCAGGCGGCGACGGAGGTTTCAGATCATCCGCCTCAATGGCATCCTGCTTACGGCTTGGGGGAAGTTCGCACAGAGCTCTGCAGCAATGCCCTTCTCAGTCACCCATCTACCAGCCCCGTCCTCAGAAAATCACTCGTATTGAGTTTTATTGCTTTCCCAGGTTGCAGACACATCCACTCAGTGGCATTACGAAACCCACGTGAACTCGTGAACCTCCACGCGGGTGGTGGCTGTGGCGGACTCCGCAACGTCGGTAAAAAGTGGCTCACCTTCCATGTCATCACAATGCCATCATCAAAGAGCTATGTAGAGGCGGTCCGCCCAAACCCCCACTAGTAATAATAATTAAGTTAAGTAGTATCACAGGTTTGACTAGGATTGGGCTCCAGGCCCTTACCACCCACAGCACCCCAGCTCGAAAGCAGAGAGGCCCCAGGTGCTTCGAAAATTCCTCCATGGATTTTTGCCATGCCACACATGGAAGGCCTCGAAGCACTGCATACCCACTTCTGAAACGCGAAGCTCTGCTCCCTACGCCCGAGACCCTAAACCCTAAATCCCGAGCCCCTGAACCCCGAATCCCTACATCCCTAGTCCCTACACCCCAAAGCTCCACAGCCTCCTGGCTCGCTCGCTGTCGGCCAGCAGACAAGCGGAGTTCCAGGGTCGGAGAACTTCCGTGCCTGTAGGGACTTGGGTTTCGGGCGGCAGTGAAGAGCTCGAGATGTAGGCACGCCGGCACAAGCCTTTTCAACACTCCGGCGCGAACGTGTCGAGGTGTTTATGACGTTGGGGGCGCGGCGATGTTTATGGACAGTTCAATGCACGACACAAGACAGGATCGATTTGTGGCGTCTTGCGACATCGAAAAAGCACGACACAAGGATGTCACATCGCCTGGCCCAGGAGATGTAAAAATGGACATGACCTCGCCGTCCCCCCTTGTTAGACTGATCTGTCTTCACTGCCATGCGGCCTTTGCGAGCACCCAGCCGCCCAACCAAAGCTCCGAACAAAAGCCTGCAGACTGACAACAACTTTGCTTCCTGAACTTCCTAAACCCTAAACCCTAAACCCTTATAGCAATCCTCATAGCAAGCCGAAAGTGAAAAATTACCGTCCCTCCGCCGTCCTTCACGATGCCGAAGATGCCTGCAAGTTGGGCTATGGAGGGCTGCAGCCGGGCCCCAAAGGCAATGATATGAAGACCGGTGACATCCAGGCTGCCGATATGGCAGCTGGAGGTGATCACAATATGTCATAATAAAATGCAATAGAGCATGATATGACAGATAAAACTATAACAACACAATGTAGTACAGAAAAGTAGCATATAATGAAACATAAGCTGCAGCTTCGCTCTGGCCGACGCTAGCAGTGCGAGAACGACGCAGCACACCCCATTCTTCATGGAGACATGTAAGGCTGGCTTCACGAAGCTAGGGAGGCGTGACGTTGCTGGGGTTCGCTTTAGGATTTGGGTTTTGGGGCTATTCCTATGTTCGATGCGTGTTGTTGTTGATACCGTTTCCACCGCTGCCGTGCGGCTGTCACGTTTGACTGTGATGTTTGCCCCGAATTTGCACACGACTCGAATAATTACACCGAGACAACCCTGCAACGGCCTGGAATGTGAATGGTGTACATGTGGTCGATGCAGGTGGAGTCCTGGCTGTTTTTGGTGGCTTCTCTTGCTAAGAAGAACAGTATTCTGGCAGGTCTTCGTCATTGCTGAGCTTTGCTGCAGGCTCAGACTTTCAGACTCTCAGATTCTCTGAGTCCTCCATCTACAACCCCCCTAAGTTAGAACCATAATAAAAACAGTTTGAAACGTCTCTTGGGGTACACGAACAAAAATGAAAATTAACTCCAAAGGAGACTATAGCCGTTGCAAAACGGGGTGAGAGCGCTAGGATGGCATCAGGGCTCACTTCAGCAGCCGTTTCTGCGCAGCTTTGAGGATTGCCCCATTTCTTTCTATAAGTGTCGAACCCAGGCAGTCACACTGCCCACAAAATGCGGCAAAGCTTTCTTGGAGGAGAACCTTCGTCACACCGCAAACTGAATTTCTCGGACCCGAAAAAACCGTAAATGCTGGAAACGGTAAAAAAAAATCAGGACTCCTGGGAAAGGACCTGGCCGCCCAGCACTTCTTTCTCCAAGTGGGTGGACAGGTAGATACAGTAGCGCCCCAGAAGCAGCTCATCCTTAGCTAGGAGTGGCTCAAAAATAAGCTGTTCTGGCGTGACTTCCACCGCTTACTTCTGGAACTTCGACGAAGACAAACCCATGATGGAAGATTTCAGAAGCTCGACTCTAGCAGCTCTAGCAAACGATGCCAGCTTCATCCTGTAAAACGTAAACCACCTGCACCTGAGTGATGATGGACCTCTGATCAGCATCAACAACGCTACTATCACCAGAAACCCGGGGTCGATGTCGCCAATATTTGAGGAGCCGTAGTAGGTGGTGGTAGTAGTAGTAGTAGTAGTAGTAGTCGTGGTAGTAGTAGTAGTAGTAGTAGTAGTAGTAGTAGTAGTAGTAGTAGTAGTAGTAGTAGTAGTAGTGGTGGTAGTAGTAGTAGTGGTGGTAGTAGTAGTAGTAGTAGCAGTAGCAGTAGCAGCAGAAGTAGCAGTAGCGGTAGCAGTAGGAGGAGTAGTAGTAGTTAGTAGCAGCAACAACAGCAGCATGCGCAGCAGCATGCGCAGCAGCAGCCGCCGATGCAGCAGCACAGGCAGGCACAGCAACCCTGGCAATGGCTGGCTTCAACGCTGAACTAGCAGCACACGCACGTCAACATGCTAGAGCCATGGAGAAGTCGCACAGCGCAGCCATAATCTTCCGAGGAGAGGGGCGAAGATGCGACCGGTGAGAGTCCCAAGCAACCTTGCAGTACTCCAATATGCTTCTGTTCAAGGGTTTGGAACTGTCTCTTCAGGGGTCGCACTACGGCAAGGTTCACAGGCTTCAAGACACGGACTCTCCCAAAGCCTGAGCCGGGTCATGACACGAAATACCCCTCCCCCACCCCGCCCTCCGGCTGCTGCTGTTAGGCATGACAGGCAAAAGCCTAGCAAAATTAAAATCCGACAACCTGTCCCCCAACCCGCACCCTGGAAGCTTTAGAGCCACCGCCGCAGCGCAGCGTCCTCAGCACTGTCGGCCCGATGTCTCGCAAATATCCCAACCCCACACGCGACAGAAAGCAAGCCGAATGCAGCCGAGATGCCCAGCAAGGTAAGGTGCAAGGGCCCCCAATAACCTTATCTCGCTTCTGAGGTGATGGGTCTACAGGTATAACAGGCTGGGACGTCTGTTGCTTTGCACTGGTCACTGTTTCCGTCATCCGCCAAAGCAATAACAGCGGACAAAGGGCAGAACATAATTCATCGTGCTGCCAGGACGGCATTGAATAATTGATCTTGCTGCCGGGTCGCTTGCGATTTCGGATTTTGCAATACCCAGCCGTTTTGGAATATTGGTATTTTCATGACAACGTATGTCATACTCTCACATTTGTTGGCATGCACAGTGCCAGTTACTGCCCATGACCGCCAGCCGAGCCGCTAGCTTGCGCTTACACATTGAGTCAGATCTGAATGGACTCACTAATGAGACCTGGCCGGATCGGGTGCATTCGTGACGACGACGAAACCCAAACCACTGAAGTTTGCTGCCTCGTGCACCCACGTGCACCATGATGCACTCGCCTTCTCTGAGTCTTGTTGCTACCATAAACGGTTATGTTATTTCAGCATGCCTTCTGCAATTCAAGGGCTTTGGGCTTGATTTGGAGATTGGCGCACGTTGCTTCATCCCCGCATGGTGTATTGTGCATGAGGCCCTGAGTCATGCAACCTCTGCTTGCAGCCGATATGAGGGCCAGAGGCCTTGAGGATACCAAAAAAGGAGGATGGTAAGGCATGTTCGTTTAGCTGCACGATCATTCGAGCACAAGTCTGCACACCAAGGGACGGGGCGAATGCCGCTGCCGCTGGGGCAGACACAAGCAAATCAGCAATGCCATAGCACGGGCCTGCATGAAGGAGTTCTCGTATATCTTTGATGCATCATGCCACGGTATCTAGAAAAGATGGGGTTCCTGATGCTCCGTTCCGTGGTGCGGTTCTCTCTTCAAGACATTTGCCCCTTGGTCTGGGCTCTACGGATTCTGAACGTTGAGAATATCGAGTCTGTCTCGTTTCTCCATCAAGAGTAGAGACGAGACCTAACGAACCTGTCTAGCGACACCGCGTCGCGGAGCCGGTCTGTGCTTTCGGACTTGATAGTAGCTAGTTTCGTTGCTCCAGGTTTCTGAAGGCTTTGCAGGATATCCTTTCAGGGCCAGCCAGGCCATATATAGGGGTCTTTAGTCGTTCGAATGTAGCGGGGTACATCATACAAGAATTAGAGCAAGGAGCACTCAGGGAAAGAATCATATGGGAATCTGTTGAAGGTGCGATTTTGCTGCTTTGCCTGCCACCAGCGACCCGAGCGAGAGCGGGAAGATCCGAATCCAGGGATAGCTGAGATCGTCTTTGGGATCAGTGCCTTGGCGCAGAGATGGCAGACCTTTTGCGACTGCAGGCACCCGAGGAAAGATCTCTGCCGAACTTTCTATCAATGCAGGGTAAGAAACATACCACAACATGCAAGATGCCACCCAGTAGAATCCGCCCACCCGTCTGTCCTGTGCACTCATTGTCCAAGCAAAGAATCGGCAAATTTGGTCCGCTGAGCAAGTCCGCATCTCTGGCACGCACGTGCTGCAGCCCATCCACCTGAGTCTTATTCTCTCTTCTTCAATAACCGGGCCCGAAACAGTTCAATCTTGCTAAGATAGACCGAATACACAAGGCCGCAAGGCTTACAAGCGTAAAGGTCTCCCAGGCAATTTGAGTTTAGTGTCGTTGGAAATTCATGGATTGCTTAGGATTCAAGGCATGAGTCTGAAGTCCAAGAGTATTTGTAATTGTATGCCTGGTTCTGCTGCTGAGCTTGAACACGCTGAGTGGGAGGAGTCCTTCTTCGTGCTACTCGTAAACAGTGCTGTTCAATCCGGCATGGGGACTGCTTTTCTCGGCGCCAAAACTAGCGAACCGACACTGCAGGACAAACTGCCAAGCACCGAAGGTCTTTGCACGGTCTTTACACACTCGAACCGCGAAAACTGAATTGAAATGTCCGCGATGTTGAGGTTTCAAAGTCAGAAACGCCTAAAATCTGCACAATACTTGATGTTCTCGTTGGCCATCGTTTGCGCCACCGGAGAGCTACGCAGCTACGAGAAATGATGCTGCAGGAGAATATGCTTACAACAGGCGTTTCGGTGCCAAGATGAGAACATCAGCACAATCCTGCGTGACATCTTCCGATACTCGTCAAACTCTTCCAACAGCTTTAGATTCCAGCACTCGGCTGCACGCGAACGAATCTTAAAGCGCTGATCATTCAAAGAGAAAAACTTGTCACAACTGGCAATGTGGACTAGCACTATTTGGCCCGACATGAGGAAGTTTTCCCAACATGCCGAAGTCTGACGAAGTTTCTGAACCCAGGGTCCCCAGCTCCCCATATTCACTGGGCTTGGAAAGCTGTTACTTAAGACCGAAATCTCCAAACACAAAACCTCGACATCGGAAGCTTAACCATGGGGCCCTGAAGCTTCGAAGCTCGGACTCCAGAATCCTGTTCCCAAAGCCTACAAAGCCTTCTCAAATCCTCGGTGACCTCACACGCCATTCTCAAGTTCAGGCCACGCCAGGTCGACAGTGACGTCCGGCAGGGCCAGGATCGGATTCTTCAGCGCCCGCAACAGCGGCGCCTACAGGATGCTGCCATGCTTCGCCACGCTGTGGCTGTCGCCGCCAGGATTCTGTTATCTTGGATACGTTGCGGCTGTGCTGTGAATTTGGGCAGCGGCGGTAGTGGTGGTCGTCGGGGTCGCTTGCAGTAGTAGTAGTCGTCGTCGTTGTTCTCGAAGGAGGAAGAGGAGGAGATTGTAGGTAGTAAGTAGCAGGGGAGCAGATTGTAGGTAGTAGGTAGTGTCAGGTCTTAGGTAAAACCAGGTAGTAGGTAGTAGGTGGTAGGTCGTAGATCGTAGGTAGTAGTAGTAGTAGTAGTAGTAGTAGTAGTAGTAGTAGTAGTAGTAGTAGTAGTAGTAGTCGTCGTCGTAGTAGTGGTAGTAGTACTAGTAGTACTTGTCATAGTATGAGTAGTAGTAGTAGTAGTAGTAGTAGTAGTAGTAGTAGTAGTAGTAGTAGTAGTAGTAGTAGTAGTAGTAGTAGTAGTAGTAGTAGTAGTAGTAGTAGTAGTAGTAGTAGTAGTAGTAGTAGTAGTAGTAGTAGTAGTAGTAGTAGTAGTAGTAGTAGTAGTAGTAGTAGTAGTAGTCGTAGTAGTAGTAGTAGTAGTAGTAGTACTACTACTACTACTAGTAGTACTAGTAGTAGTAGTAGTAGTAGTAGTAGTAGTCGTAGTCGTAGTCGTAGTCGTAGTCGTAGTAGTAGTAGTAGTAGTAGTAGTAGTAGTAGTAGTAGTAGTAGTAGTAGTAGTAGTAGTACTAGTGCTATCAGTAGTGGTTGTTATTGTTATTGTTGTTGTAGTTGTTGGTGTAGATGTAGGTGTAGGTGCAGGTGCAGGTGTAGGATGGTGTAGGTAGCAGTGGTGGTGGTAGCAGTGCAAATGTGATGTTGCTCTAGTTGCCGTGCCTGCAGGCATTGGTGTCGCCGTTGTTGTTTTACTGGCTGTGGACATGGTCATGATGTTGTCGGTGTTGGTTCGCGATGACGATCATCATAATGATGTCGTTGATGCTGATGCTAGCTGCTAGTATGGTGACGATGACGTCTTTGATAACGAGAATGATGTTCATGAGGAGGAGGAGGAGGAGGAGGAGGAGGAGGAGGAGGAGGAGGAGGAGGAGGAGGAGGAGGAGGAGGAGGAGGAGGAAGATGACACTGATGCGGAGGATGAGGACGATAAAGGCGACGGCACAGAAAAGAATCATGATGAACACCAACTTGATGGTCATGATGCTGATCCTGTGGCTGATGGGGATGGTGATTGTGATGGCGAGATAATGGTGACGGTGATGGTTGTACTGACGATTATGATGATGACGATGAAAATGATGATGACGATTACGGTGATGCTTGTTATGATGAAGATGGCGGTAGTGGTGGTGATGGTAATGATGACGGTGATGATGGTCCAGGAAAAGAACATGATGATGATGATGTTTTTGATGGTAGCGATGCTGATCCTAATGAGCATGCTGTCCAGGCTCTCTCAATGATGGCAATGGCTGTTGATTCGTGCGGTGTCGATCATGGTTGCACTAGTGCAGCTGATGGCGATTGTGGTGTTGAAAGTGATGATGGAGATAATGATGATGATGATGATGACGATGATGCTGATAAAGATGATCATGACGATGAAGCTGACGATGACCAGGGACATTCTCAGCCTTCTGAGGTCTTCCCGAGCCATTCGGATAGCATGGGTTAAGTTTGTCACACCACATGTTGGAACAAAAACAACTTTGGGGCATGCTTCGGCAGCAGGCTTTCGGTGGATGGCTAAATGTCTCCAGATGCCGGTCCCAGGATCCAAAAGCTTCACAGTCGGGTTTTGGGTTTTTGGGGCAAGGCTTCCTTCAGGATGGCGATGATAGGAGTACTGCTTTCAAAGTCCACGGATTCAAAGAGTTGCCTGCCTTGTCAAGGCTGACAGAGCTGTCGTTATTGAGCGAAGACGACCTGTTCAAGTTGGGGCTTCCCGGACCAGAAATCCGAAATGGTTAATTGATACGAAGGCTTTAACAACTAGACTGGGGTTCTTAGGGTTGTATCATACTACAACTATAACAAGGCACTTTAAGGAATAGTATTCCGGGATGCAAGCCTCGCAGCCAGCCTCAACAGGGTTTACAGTTCACACAACCCAGTGGCAAACATCTTGCACAACACTACACAAGCTCTAAACTCCAAACCCTGAAAAAAACACAAACTAGGTAAGATCTCAAAGGGTCTGGTCACGTATCTGCACGTCGGCATACCTCCCACAAGCAAAGGAGTGCCAGCTGATGCCAATTTGAGGAACCACCCCACCCTCTAACAAAAATCCCTAAAGTATACTAAACCCTAACCCTCACCCTAAACCCAAACCCCCAACCTTCGTCCCCTAGTCACTAGTCGGAAATGGGCCGGCACCATCTTGACTTTTTAACCCCTTCCACCCCTCATCGAACATGACACACATTCAAGCTTAAGAACTTGACCTTAACCTAGACCCTAAATGCCTAAGGCCCTAAACCCTCGATTCCTGGGCCCCAGCACCGTAAACTCCGAACCAAGATTTATACTTAATTACGTACTGTAGGGGCTATAGAGTTACTGGAGGGTATACGTGCCGTAGGGCCTATAGAGTTACTATGAGGGTACTAAGCGGTTCCTATCATAATCATGATCCGAACCCTGTACCCTTTCCTTCAATCCTAAAATCCTTATAGCACCTCGAATCCCAAATCCCACCACCTCAAACTCCAAACCCTGAGCTAACTGTTATAGTTATAGGCTGACTGCAGGGGACTGACTAAAGGGTTACTATGATAAGCATAACCCGAAGCCCTGCACCCTGTTGAACCCCTTCAATCCTAAAGCCCTAGACCCCAACATCCTAACATTCCAAACCCTCAACCAGCTACGATATTTGCCATAGGGTTACGATATAGAAAAGTACTACAGGGCCACGATAATAACCATAACTTTAATCCCTATTAAACTGTCTTCGATGCTCATACCTTGAATCTAAGCCCCCAGCACCCTAAAACTGCAAACCATGAACAAATGCAAAAGAGACTAGGACACAGGTGCGACGCGGTTACTAATGCGGTGATCATAGTACTAGTCCTGAACCCTCCACCTTGGATAAAACCCTCGTCCCTAAACCCTAAGCCCAGGCCCTGAACAATAAAACCCCAAAATCCGGAGAAAAAAACAATCCGATGGCCAAGAGGAGCCCGGCCCTCGTAGGGCCGCCGCGGTGGTCTCCAGAACGGCGGCGTGGCTCTTCAGCTGAAGGCCTTAGAAATCCTACCTTTCCTGAACCCTAAACCTTTCGGTGACAGGTATAGTATAACATAGGATAGTAGAGTTTAGTACGGTATAGGATTGCATGATTCAGCATAGTATGGTAAAGTCGGTAAAGTATAGCACAGCTGTTCTGAGAAATCAGAAACTCGTTTTGAGAAATATTCTAATACAGTTGGGATATTCGATATCAACTACTGGTTACTCCACCTCTAAGCCCAGCTTTTCTGGATTGGATTGCTGAAGCCGAGGTTTGCTAGGACGGCTCCTTCTACAAGTTGCCTACGTGTCGCATCGGAGTTTCTGGAGTCAGAGCAGGTACCTGAACCCTGAGCCGCGGGGTGTGTGGACTGCTGAAACACTAAACCTTACCCTCCTTTTGAAGGATCATGGTGCTCAGTAACAGGGGTCATTACGGCCCGAACGAAGGTTCTTAAAACCTTACTTCATAAGCCCCGTGGTTCTCTAAGTATGGCCTAAAGGCCTTCCCCGGCCTTTTGACTTGAGATCTTGAGCAGCAGACTCGGAAGTCCGGGCTCCAAAGCTGGAAGCTGCGATCCCTAAATGAAAAGACTTAAAACCCCAAGTGACGTCGGAGCTTGATCCAAGGCCCCCTGCCCGGTCCGCCGTTTACTGTGTCTTCGTCTCAATAGTACTAGTAGTACTGGTAGTAGTAGTAGTAGTAGTAGTAGTAGTAGTAGTAGTAGTAGTAGTAGTAGTAGTAGTAGTAGTAGTAGTAGTAGTAATAGTAATAGTAGTAGTAGTAGTAGTAGTAGTAGTAGTAGTAGTAGTAGTAGTAGTAGTAGTAGTAGTAGTAGTAGTAGTAATAGGTAGTAGTAGTAGTAGTAGTAGTAGTAGTAGTAGTAGTAGTAGTAGTAGTAGTAGTAGTAGTAGTAGTAGTAGGTGGTAGTAGTAGTAGTAGTAGTAGTAGTAGTAGTAGTAGTAGTAGTAGTAGTAGTAGTAGTAGTAGTAGTAGTAGTAGTAGTAGTAGTAGTAGTAGTAGTAGTAGTAGTAGTAGTAGTAGTAGTAGTAGTAGTAGTAGTAGTAGTAGTAGTAGTAGTAGTAGTAGTAGTAGTAGTAGTAGTAGTAGTAGTAGTAGTAGTAGTAGTAGTAGTAGTAGTAGTAGGTAGTAGGTAGTAGGTAGTAGTAGGTAGTAGTAGTAGGAGTAGTAGTAGTAGTAGTAGTAGTTAGTAGTAGCAGAAGTACTGAGGTGACCATGGCCCCAATCAAAGATGAAGCTGAGGGTCTTGGGTTGGGTCTTGGGAAGCGAACTTACCACTGCCAACGCGAGCACCTCAAGTTTCCCGACATCCGATATAGCAGCAGCAATGACGTTAATGGAGTAGTATATGTCGACTCCTCCCTAAGCCAGCAGTCCAGGCACACAGGCGGTTGCGAAAGTAAGGCAGTCGTCGGGTGCAGAGCACCTTCTCCATGGAGGAGCTGGATCTCGGATATGCTCATGCAGAGTTTTCGAAGTAGCATCTGCAGCTATGAGAGATGCCTCTTCTGGCGGTCAGCAACTGTGCCCAAAAGCCACCCCCTTACTGCAATGGAGGCACAAGACCTCCATCTCTGATGTTCCTTGGTGGTGGAAGTTGATTCGGCAAAAAGCTTTGTCAGTCTTCGGCTCTGTCATGTCAGCACCGTTTGATTCCCAATCTTTACCCGGCACTCTTCAAGTTCTGAAGGCCCCGCAAAACAGCGACAACATGAACAATCCGATATCTGAACACGCAAATCTGTGGTTGCTCCATGACATGGATGCTTTCCATCCTGAGCAGATAAAGATGCTTGGCATAAGCAAACTTTCAGCAACACTATCGCTGCAAATGACCCTCACAAGTAACTGTATACAGCAGACAAAGCACCGAGTTCTGCCAGTTGTGGTGGTTTCGATGAAACACACTCATAAACGCAACCTGACTTGAGGAGTAATTATAGCCCTTGGACTTGCGCACTGAGGTCATGAATTCACGCACTGGCCTTGGAGGACGCGTGCACCGCGCAGTCGCCAAGGCATACACCCTATACCCGTTGAAACCCTCATATGCACCCTCAACTGAAAACATCCGCTTTGCTGCTGAATCCCGCATCCACTTCAAATTGCGGTCGACGCTGCAATCCCAAAGCTCCAGACTGGAACCTCGTGCAAAAATCTCTTGCGGGACCACGACCGACCAAGCAATGAAGAACCCTATGACAACCCCGAAGTGTCCAAGGGAGAAGATTCTCAGCTTGGCCTGAAGACTTTTCAACTGTAGGGGTCTCGCAGTCATCGCAGTCTCACTAATTACAATGGGGTCTCGACGCATGTTGTAGTATAGCTATATCCAGGAACCCTAGGAACCCTAATGCCTAGTGTGGTATTGATTTCTCAAGTCCCCATCATAACTGAGGCAAGCCTCCAAACATTGCCTGGATCAGCCCTGTCGAGCTCTGCAAGGCAGACGTGCCCCTGCAACAACAGTAACACAAAAAATGGTAAGAACCGTCATCCGGGTAACATTGTCAATAAGCACTATAGTATGAATACTACCAATAGCAATAAAACTGTTATAACAATATTCTTAAGAATACAATAGGTACCAGCAGAAACAATAGCAGTCTTGCCGGCTTGGTCTAAGCAGCCTAGGCCATGTCTCGAAGTCGAAGCCAAGCCGCAAACTGCTCCCATCTTGGAGATACACCGTGAAGTCCAGTTTTGTTTTATATACACATACATTTATATTGGTATTTATATGTGAATGTATTCAATATCTTATTTACTTACGTGCTTACTTAGTTGCTTGTTTCATTTGGTCATATACATTATATACATGTATATACCCTCCACCTAATCCTCCTCCCTGCAGTCCGAGACACCTTGTTTTTGCGTTCGTTTGCCACCCCCTTGCCCGGCCTTCCCCTCCCTCCTCTCCCCCACCCCCCTCCCTCCTCCCCTCCTCCCCCCCTCCCCCCCTCGCGAGGTCCCGCACTGGACACGCAAAGGTTGGGGTTGAGAGGCCCCCTCGCATGCTGTATGCAACATCCACTGCCCCCTCGCCCTGCCGCTACACAGCCGAGGCGGGCGGCGTAGCGTTAAAATTACTATCGTTGCTATTGCTATGATTGCAACTATAAGTAAAATGTGTAAATATCTTTGCCCTATCATACGCAGGCATCAACACACGCACTCACACACACACTCTCAGATATATCTATCTATCTTTCTAGGTATATACATATATATATATATACATATATATATATATATATATATATATACATATACATATATATATATACATATATATACATATATATATATATATATATATATATATATATGTATATATATATATGTATGTATGTATATATGAATATAAATATATATATATATATATATATATATATATGTGTATATATATATATATATATATATATATATACATACAATACCGTATTATATACCATGAATATCCATAAATCACACATTATACATAATATAATATATCTAAAGCACTCCACACGCACCCACCCACCCACCCACCCACCCAACCACCCACCCAGCCACCCAGCCCAGCCACCCACCCACCCAGCCAGCCACCCAGCGACCCACCCACACCCACCCACACACGCACACACACACGCACACGCACACGCACACGCACCCACTCGCACACACCCGCACGCACCGGCACACACCCGCAAACACCAGCACACAACCGCACTCACTCACACATACGCCGCTTCAAGCCCGAGTGTGAGCACAGAAGACCGGCGACTACTCGACAGTTTGGGGGGCGGGTTGCGGCTTCGGTCCGGAGTCTGGAGTTATCGGGCAGTAACCAGAAAAGTCTCGCTATGGATCCACAGCAAGATGAGCATCCCCATTGAAAGTCTCAAACAACTTCAACCCAACAACACATCTCTCTTACATGTGGTACCGGCAGACCTCTCAGCATGTCTCCACGAAGCAACCTTAGCATCATGTCTGTTGTCTTTACAGTGACTTGGGGTTCGGGTTGTGGTCGTAAAAGGTGCAGGATCCCGACAGCTGGACACGGGAGTCTGCGGGGATTGTGCTTTGGGTTCTACCATACGAGATCATGGTATATATTATAGTATATATGACAGTATGTTCTGTCTGAAAGGTTTTTGTTGTAAGTTTTTGAGCTTGGAAACTGTGCCGTTTTGCAAGAGGGTGCAAAAGGGTACTGCTGGGTAACCTAGCTTCATGTCAACGCCAGCAGGTGACAGGTTTGATTTGTCAAGCCGTGCACTCAGGAGATCCTGAACCCTGGACGCCAAAACCCCGAAACCCTAAACCCTGGACCGTGCAGGTAAACTTTCGGAAGTCAAGCAGCCTCGAGGAAAGGTAGGAACAGCAGCCATATCCAATGCGCCATGGCAAAACAACCAAACAATCTCCGTAGCCGCTGCCGCCGCAGCTACTGCTACTTCTGGTGCTCCTGTTGGCCTCACCTCCGGCCTACTACTGCTACACCATACTACACTTACGACGACGTCTGCTGCGGACACTGTTTTTAGAACAGCAGTAGTACCGAAGCTGACGCAGGGCTTAATTAAAGATCCAGTCGGAAAACCCAACCTAGTACGGTAACCCGGTGGTCCGGTGATGTCCCCTTTTTTGCAGACAACAGGAGGCTTGAGAGCGGCCGACCGAGCGACTGGAAACGCATGGGCCACTTGCGGCTGGATCGGGAAAATTTACCGTACGACTACGGGGATATATTGGTACAGTTGAATTCTGAAATCAGATTTGTTAGCTCAAACCACTTTTCTATAAAACCAAAATGAAAAGTACCATGGAGGCTTCTGTGAGCCCAAGCTGTGATATTGTTGGTGTTGCCCCGGCCCAGTAACAGTGACCACAAACAGACCCACAAAAAAACGCACAAGCAAAACTCAATCATCTTCGCATGGAGTGTGATCATCCAGCACGCATGTATGTAGTCTCTGCATCAGATGATATGATCGTATAGCCATATCCAAGCATATCCCTGTTTCCTATCTTTTTGTATTAATGCCACTCAAACGCGTCTCCTTTCCTCTGCAACTCTCTCCTTTTCCGGTAGACAAGATACCGGGCGCCGGACACTCACTTTGAGCCAAACACCCTCCCGCATCGTCCTGCAACCAGCAGCCCAATGTGGTCCATGCTAGTCCAACCTTCAGCAACCAGGTGAAGCCCCAGACGGGGTGGAGGCTGGAGTTTTAACTTCTGAAGCCAAGTCAAAAGCCTGCCTTTTTGGAGTCACGCGTGATGGTGTGCACTCCTGTGTGTGCGCGCGTGCTTTCTTGTCTTAGCAAAAAGTAGATTGCAAATGTCCGGGGGGCCGTCAGAGGCCAAACACAGCTGCCCCAGAGAGATGAGGATGGGGGGACCTGTGAGGTGGCCTGCGGGATCTGTGGAGCTGGAAAAGTTTGCCTCAGGCAGGGGTCGGCCAGGAGGCCGGTTCTGGAAAACTAGCTTAGCGTTGTTTTGTGCGTGTGTTTGGGAGTTTATGTTTTTTCTTTGTGCTTTTTGCGGTGCTGTTTTTTTTGAGTGTGGTTCTTGTTTTTTGGTTGTTTTTTTTTCTATTTGTTTTGTGTTTTTTGTGTGGGTATGTTTGTGCTCTCCTGTTTGTGTTGTCCCATATGTTTTTTGACTATTTTTGGTAGAAAACATGTTTGGATGTTTGTGCTGTGTTTTGTGTGTTTGCTAGTTTGTGCATTTTTTGGTGTTTTTCCTTGTGTTTTTTTGCTTGCGTATTTGCTAGTTTGCTTCTTTTTTGTGCCTTCATGTTTTCTAGTCGCTTAGGAAGATCGAGTTTAGTCTCAGATTTGCTCTGTCTCTGTCCAACCCAGCATAGGCCTGCCGGCAGGCTGTCTCTACCCTCGTCCGCCCTTGAGATAGTGACTCATCTGAGCTTATCTGGTTTCTTGGCGTGGCTTACAATGCGATGTCATTACCGCCTATGTCTTATGGTGTTTTTTTGAAACCCAGATACGGTCTAGAATATGGATAGTAATACAAAGTATTTCAGTCGCTTAGTCTTATAATCATATACTCATGGGCACGGAGTGGCATAGTGAGGCAGTTATACAGTCTGCATTATTCTACAAGAGATGTGATATATTTATTCTTCTCAGAGTTGCAAGTTGGTAATAGTAATAGTAATCGTGACACTAATAGTAATAGTGTAAACCTGGTTGCTGTGGACTGAGGGTTGGGGGCCGGGATGGCAGAGGGTGTTTGGCTGGGGTTAAGGCTGCAGAAGGATGTGCCGAATATGTGTTTCTCTGGACCTTGTGCGAAGCATACCTGAGTCACGTTTCCTTGTGCTCTTTTTGGCCTGTGTGTTTAGTCTAAACCCTGTTTTTGAACTGTTACTGGGCCGGGGCAACACCAGAGTGAAAATGAAGAAGAGAAAGGATACTCGGAATAACAACAAACATCGGAATAGTAATGAAGGTTATGTTGCTATCACTATCAATCATAATACGAACTTTATGTTTATCTGTTACTATCATTACTGCTATTGAAATTGCGATTACGATGACCATTACTATTGCTATGACCGTCACCATTACCATCACTACTACTACCGGTATTACATTTCTCTTCTGTCAGACGCATACATGTATTACATATCTATATGCATATCAGTATTATTATAAGCCGCCCCGAAATATGCTTCCAATACGTGCGATGTCCATCATCGACCTGGCGTGACACTGGAGCTGGGACAAACTATCGTCTGCAATTCTATACTAATGAGCTGAGACCGCAAATGGTCGGCAGTAGTGTCGATTGCTTGTGTCTCAATTGAGTGATGATCCTGATGCACACGCATGCAAGCTCTCCTTTTGAATGTATTTGTCCAAGCTCTGGGCAGTGTGGGCTCGCTCACACAGGCGAGCAGTCGCAGCCATGTTTATGGCTTTATGCATGGGCACTTGTATTGCATGGGCACTTGTCCGCCGGGCGCATTAGCACACCGTCCCAACTTGGAGCACAAGTCCCAGCCCATCAATGTCTCATCTCAGTGCAATGTATTGTGATGAGCTTCTGCATGGCAAGAGGACCATGCCGAAACGTAAGCGGAGTGAATCTGATCCACTGCCGCTTGCAACACCTCAACCATACACTGCTGCTGGCAGTTCACGAGTCACACAAGTCACCTGTTCTTACAGCCAAGACGCGGAGACATCTGGCTGTGGTAGGTTGGCCGCCTGCACCCAAGAAGTGTCGCGACAAGAAGTGAGCACCTGCATGCTCTGCAGACTCCTTGCCTCGAAACGGTGGATCAAGAAGCCCGAGTCTTGCAGCACGAAGCCTCATATTCGCGACTGTTTATTTATACCAAGATTTCAGCACTTGCGGTATGCTGACATCGCGCCACAAGCTTGACGCTTCGACAACCCGGTATGCATGCACGCCGAGATGCGGATTTGATCCAGTGTCTGCCTAGCACAGCATTGTGGAGGCCACGTCTCTGCAACACCCTTGCAATCAACAGAACGACATGTCTGTTCAGCTGCGTCGCGCCGCCAGGGCAGACTTGCAGCCCTCAGCAGCCATGAGGCGCCCGAAAACGTCGCTGTCACCTGAACAGCTCAAAATCCAGCACATCCAAGCGCACACCCACGGAGCTGCACAGCTCAAGATGCCGAAGGCAACTCTTGGAAGCTTCATGCGCCAATGAACCTGTTTCCCACTGGCAAGTATTGGCAACTACAACAGATCTCAAGGGCCGGGCTGATGATGGCCGCAAGCTCGCCCACCAGGTTGGACGTCTCTCGCCACACAGCCCGAAGTTGTGCGCGACTCCGGCGCATCGACTTCATACCGGAGGAATATGACTGGAGCAGGTCTAAGGTGCCTGTGCAAAGTGCGACAGGGCAGCACGACAAAACGAAAGCCGGACATTGCGCCTGCTTTGCAATTCTCGTACTCGGCCAACTTCGTGACTGAAAGTTCAAGCTGGGTGATCTCCTGAGCTCACATCCCCTGAGCCTCAAAGCAGCTCCTGTGCACACCTTCGAGCCTCCGTTTGTCCCGAAGAATTGGGCTCGGTCTGAACATACACACATAATCTATATCTATATCGATCTACGTATACATATATATATATATATATATATATATATTATGTGTGTGTGTTTATGTCCAGAAGTGTATATTTCATGCACATGCATAATGTGTATATGTGTATATACACATTTTACACAGTGTGTGCGTGTACATGCATGCATGTGACTGGGCGTATGTGCTCCTTGACATGAGCAAGAAAGAGCTAGAAATGAACCAACTCTATGCATGTGTATGTGTGCATGTTCGAAGGTATTTGTGTCATCGTGTAAGCATTGTGGGTTGTTTGTGTGCATGTGTTGTTTCTATGTGCATACATGTGAACCTATACATGCATGGGTTTATGTATGCGTGTCCGTGTGTATGCAGGTATGCATGTATGCCTACAGAATGTATCTGTGCGTGCGCGTATAGGTTTTTTGTGAGTTCAACGGTCGATCTACCGATATACATGTAAGGTCGGCATTGTAGATTCTGGTGAGCATTTATGGTATACATGCATATATACATATATACACGCATGCATACATAGATACATACATCTACATGTCTACATGTACACCACAATTACAAACATGTATACACACCTACACTCGTAGCCATATATATCGAAAGATACATACATATACATGCACATGTTTCTACAATAGTGTACATACATACGTGCGTACATACATACATACGTACATATATTGTACATGTTTGTGTAAATGTCGTACATGGGGGCCCTCTCTCTCTCGGTCTCTCTCTCCCTCTCTTGCTCCCTGTCTCGTCCGTTCGCTCGTCTAGCCTTCCGCCTGTCCTCTGTTTGTGTCTGCATCTGCCTGTCGACCTTCTGTCGACCTTGCGTGCCTTCGGCACCCAAAGCTGAATGCAACCAAGTTTCATCCCCGGCGACATCAAGATAGCGGTCCAGCCGGTCCCGGATACGCCACCACAACTTGTCCAATGTCACCAGCGTCTGCTCTCGGGCCCAGGACTTGGCCGCCTGCCGATCTGAAGCTTTTTCCCACTTCGGCTTAAGACTGGGTTCTGTGTATTAAACCCTAAACCCCTAAACCTTGTGTGCGGCGCGGCTGTGCACCCGATAGATGCCCAAGACCTGCCAGGAAAGCAGGGCGAACAGCTCTGGCCCGTATACCCGAACTTGCACTCCCCCTGCCTGTGCTTGCCGGCGCGTTCGGTCCTTCAAGGACTGGCTGGGAACCCGTTTTGAAGACTGGGCCGCACAGCATACCAGGCTACTATAGTGGCATACCGGCATACCTACCTTATCTGACAGCTAAGTGGATGTAGTGATAAGCTGCGGCTTGCCAGACCGCTTATCTGCAGGACGGCTTGGCATACAATCGCTTCGAACGCAAAACCGCGCAAAAGCAAGACCAGCAAAGCTTGAGCCCTGGGGCCCTGGCCTGAAGCTGCCGAGCCTCGCTAGCAACTTGCCGTCCTTGCTTCATCGCTCCGTCGCGTGCTGAAGACTTGCGGTGACAACTGAAAACTGATGTAGTGAAGTCCCCAACGGCTGCAGACCTACGGACCGACGGCTTCGGCAGTGGAATGCTGGGCGTTGTGCATGCAAGCCACCCACCGCTTCTGCCTTCGTGAGCCCACCCGCGGATGCCCGCATCGTCTGATGAAGGTCAGACACCAAGTTCTGGAATTTCTGCACCTTGCAGGCAAAGCCAAGATGCATAGGCTGCAGAAAGGGCTTCTGTCCTGTACCGAAGGCCCCGTTACAGAGCAGTGTGCTAATCGGATGCGGGGACGGCTGCGAGGGGGCATCTGCCCACTGCCTGGCCCATGCGCGTGGCGTTGCTCTCGACCAGAGGCTCGGTAGCAGAAAGGAACCTGAGCATGTCGATCGAATAGAATATGTGTTTATACATATATACCCTGCAAGTTCAACCCACCAGTTAAACGGGTGCGTTGAAGTAAACCACGTAGAACACTGAACACACCTCGAAAAACTGAATTTAGCATTGATTCAGTGGATGATAACAATGCTTTCTTATGCGCAAAAGTTTCACAGGGATTGGTGGTGGCTTCACAGTTATTTGGGTGTGTTTCAAGGTTTTCTGGTGTTGTTTCACGCTTTTTTCACGCTAGTTTCACGGTCAGCTGTTCGGTGTCTTGAGCTTCTGCATCGATGACGCCTGGTGTGGCGCCGTCCAACCCACCAGTTAAACGGGTGTGTTCACCACCCACCAGTTTAATTTAACGGGGTTGCAGACGTGCAGGGTATACATATACATACATATGTTGTATCATAGTGGGGTATATTGCTATATATGGTTCTTATCAGTAGTCTAGTAAATTATTGCAGGTTACATGTTATAAATTAGATATGACATGTTATAAGTATTGTATATTATGTATTGTGTGTGCTATATATTATACCATTTTATCGTATATCATGTTGTATCATATTATCTTTATACATCTAGAATATATGTGCATACATATATAGGGGTGTGTATATACATATAATATACATATATATATATATATAATATCAATTCTTTCTGCTAAGTTCTATCTCTTTTAAGATAACCATTATGAGTATTCGACTTCTTCGTGTTGCGATTATTAGGGGAGACACCCTGCGAACTCACAGGCCTTGTCAGAGCATCCCCGGCAGCAACGCGGGAGACGCCCAAGGAGGAGATCTCGGCAAAGCCCTTGAGCTCGGCGAGCATGGATCCCGTGGCAGTCACAGCATTCTGCAAGAGCTCCTTTGGGTGTAGGGTTTAGGGTTCATGCCATAGGTGCAGGGTTTAGGGCCTTAGAAATACTGCGCGGCTCGCAGTTGTGCAGATTTGAAGCTTTGGTTTCCGCTCCTCTTCTTTGGGCTGTGTGTTCTTGGCAATGTGGTGCAAGTAGATGGTGTTGATCTTGAGAGAGTGGTCGATCTTCTTGTCCAGGTATTCCGTCTCCGTCCTGGTTGCTTCCGTGGACCACTCCACCATCTTCCTCATGTTATCGTTGGAGATCTTGGTAGCCTCAACGATGAGATGACATGGCGTGCTGTGGTGCGTGCTCGCCATTCACCATTAGACTATTCCCGGCCCTCCGCACCTGTTCCAAGTTCCGTAGAATTGTTCGGTCACCACGGATGACGGCGTCACGCACGCAGTGGATATCACAGAAGAGCCGTGCAAAGCCAGCCTGGCCAGATCGAGCCGGTCTTGCATAGCCCTCTTAATGCGCACTCCTACGGTGTCTGGACCGCCCACCTCGTAGGGATTGCAGGCCAGGTACCCTTCCCTCTCAATTTGGAAGTCCACTGCCGACTTGGAGATGTCAAAAGGAAGATCTACGATTGTTCCTGCAGTTCTGCATGAAGGCTGACCACCCCCGCCCCACAACTTTCTGCATCGAGCTGTGTAAATGCATTTCCTATGCATCGCTGCCGCCGAGCATCGTACCAGGTCTGTAACTTCGGCACAGATCTTCTGCGGCTGGGGCTGGCGTGTCAGGCGCCGCGGTAAACACGGACCCGGTCAACATGTCAAGCTTTGCGCTATCGAGCTCACAAAGAGGGAAAACATGGGAAAAGGTAGCGGAAGGCAGAGAGTGAGCGAGCGAGAGAGCGGGAAAATGAGGCAATCATAGCCATAAGCGTTTGTGTATTTGAGGCTCGACGGATGGGATGGATGGCGGCAATCGACAAGGCCTGCAAGGCAAAAAGGAGCATGCGCGCCTCGACACCGACGCCCAATGGGGCCGTCACAACGCTGGGAATGGCGGCGCAGACCAGCCTTTGGTGCGTTAACCAAGGCAGGCTAGTCATGATTCAGTCATGATCTGGCGATATATAACTTAACCACTCAGCCCTTCATTACGTAATCCTGTCAAATCCTGTCAACATGTTTAGGCTTAACGATTGCTGAACCTTAACCCCTGTAAAATTACGATAAACAATTAAAACCTAATGCCAAGACACTTCACTGCGGACTGGACGACATTGGCCTGTCGTCAATGCCACGGTTTGTAAGTGATGGATTGCAAGCGCTGGTCACTGGATTTGCTTTCACAGAAGGGCTTTATACTTAATTTCATAGGGTTTGGGGCATGCTATAGCACAGCTATGGTGAGGAACCCCAAAGAAAAGCTGCTTTGACACCGCATGATCATGCAGCTGATTGGCGATGCTGTGGTAGAGGCTGTTGCCGAACTGCATGTAGCCGCCGAGCATAGCTCGATTGATGTCCCCCTGCATGCACTGAATCCAATCCTTGCAGAATGACAGGCCACTGTCACTCCATTATGCATCCAAGCATGACTCACCTCAAGCCGGGCACCGCACCTTGTACAAAAGGTTGGGAGGCGATTGCTTGCCATCACCATTCCCTAGCCTGACGGGCAAACGCTGGCTTTGACTGCTCACTGCTGCCTAAAGATCTACAAGCACCGGCCGTGGCCTGCCAAATATTCCAAAGCCGGTCTCCTGCATTATCTGGCCTGGGCTTGTATTTGATAGTGGTTCCTTCAAGGATCTTAACAAAGCATGGTTCTCCAGAACCCAGTGACAGGGGTGGACGTCTGGCAGCTCGGCATCGACGGTTCCGACGTCAGGCTCAAGCTTCGACTCCTCCACGACCTCCTCCTGAGCAAGCATTTCGGTTCCTTTATCATAGTTACACTCAAATTATACCTCCAAGCGGATTTGATATACGTTTTGCATCTCCGATTGGCCTTGTCCGCGTTGGTGTGTGTCTCGGTGAGCTTGTTCCACAATTCGCCGTAGTCAAGGCACTCGTCTGCGTACTTGGGCATCTCTGCTTTGAATTCCTCATCAAGTCGACACATCTTCGCATCTCAGACTGTCCCTGTCGCAGCAGCATATCAGCACCATGTTCTATGACTCTAACGTGAGGCACTGCAAAAGAGCGGAGTAGCACCGTGTGAGCCCTGCAGGGGCCTGTAGCTTGGGCTTGGGCGGCTGCGCTGGCCTCTTCGGCGGTTTAATCGCCTGAGCACGACTCCGTTCTCAATTTCATGCCTGCCATGATTTGTCGGCGTTCCAAGGCACCTTGAGCATCTTGGCCAGGTCGTCCATTCCTTGGCTGCGACTTTCCGGCATCTGCACAGCAACCGCAATCTTGCCGAGCATCCCCCTTCCTCCATGGAGGGGACACCCTTTCCCTCGAAGTGCCCGTCGAAGTTGGTGACATTATGGACCTCGGGATGACTCATGGAACGGCCATGAACGGTAGACACACATCAGCGGAGGCCTCCAGCATGGTCATCAAGACACCGACAGGGGTGGCTCCGCCCACCGGGGCCGAGCAGTCAGGACCCACGCACCACCTCATTCACGATCGCGTGGTCAAGTCCAGGAATTCAATCTAGGGTTTATAATACTCCGAACATGCAGGTTCAGAAAAGTATCGAAAAGTTTCCCAATGGCTAAAGGTTCCCTACTCTACTCCTAGGATAACTTGCGGGTCATCGAGCCGACTTGGCCAAAGCACTCGCCGTTCCGCTCGAAGGACAAGGCGTCGCCCGTGAGTGCATTTACATACCTGATAGTGGGTCAGCACAGGAGTAGACAGGAACCCCATATCAACGTTGAGACAGGGGACTTGTACCGTCCGGTGTGGGCATCTGGCTCCAGGGGACAGAAAACACCTCGGGATCCGTTGCTGGTGTGTGCTTGGCTGATGCCAAGCTTTTGACACGGGAGGACAGATGCAAGAGTGAGAGAAACCATCAGGCCAAACAAAAACTTCGAGAACGACAGACTGCTAAAACAATAAGTTTTAGCACAGAAAGGCAAAAGAAAACCCAACAGACATGCAGAAGCGCAGAACCCAGAGAAACAGACCAAAGGATCGTCCAGCGTCTACTCCCAAGATCGCGAGCGCGAGCTGCAACAACTAGAGACAGGAATCGCGAGGATAATCCTAGACGCACACTGCAGTCGCTGTACACAATGACCATGACGAGGCTGTTGGGGCCTTCCGGTGCTTGCGTCATGCTTTCGATGGTCGTCGAGGGCTCCATAACAACGGGAGCACCGCCGGCTTTCGCGCAAGTGTACCTGCAAGCATGCGGGATGCGCAGGGCAGTGCGAGGCCAGGTGGCGGCCCGGGTTTGGGAGGACATGTCTGTGACCGTCCCAGGCGCTTGGAGCGAGCCCAGCGTCCCCCTTCGGAGAACTCGAAGTGGAAGCCGCTGAGCAGGGCATCGGCGCCACAGTCCACCTTGATCATCCGCCTCAGCTCCGAGAGAAGTCTGACCCGAGAGCGGCAGGGGCCATAATGAGACTCCGAGTTGCAGTGCACCAATGAAATTTGCCCTCTTCTGGTCAAACTTCTTCACTTCCACTTGAGCACTGAAGTACTCGAAGGTCTGGCCCAAGCCTCCGATACGGCTGCACTCGTACCTCAGCGAAACCGCCACGCAAGCCCAAGATTAGTTATTTTGCTTCACTTGCTTGGGACAAGCTGCCGGAAGACGTTCCGTGCAGGCAGCAGCTTGAAGCCCGTGAGAGCCTCTCCATCTGGGCATAGAACCGGTGCATCGGCCAAGAGCGTATTCCATTCGGGCCAGTCTGTGCTTCGCTTGTCGTAGGTGATCGTCGTGTCCAGGAACTCTCCTCGGACGCAGGGTCTGTAAGGAGGCTCGTCTACCAATCTCAGCGAAAGTCAAAAACAAGGGAACATGGCCAATTCAAATGCCCCTCTCGTCTGCATGCGAAGCTCCGAACTTGATCACTGGCGCGAAGTGGCACGTCGACTTGAGCCCTGAGGTGTCTCCTGGAGAGCTTGCCCCCCGGCTTGCTATCGCTGTGCTGCCCTACTCAGGACTCAGGCGCTCCGGCCTCCGAAGACCTGCCCGAAGGCGAGAGAGGCCAAAGCCTGAGTTCGTTTTCTGCTCTGTGGACTGCTGCCACAGCAAGCCGCTCCCCAACAGCTCAGTCTCTGACTCCGTGGGCTCCACAATAGGACCCGTAGGCCTGAAACAGGAGTCTCCACATGCCAAGCTGAGGTGCTGGCTGCACTAGGCCCTATAGGCCTTGTGGAAATCCTCGCCGAGAGTGCGGTCCGCTTCCTGCAGACTGAAGAATGCCGGGTTTTCTCAGTCTCATCTGACATCTAAGGGCGGATCTCCTTGTGCATGTCCCAGAGAACACCGGGTACAGCCATAGGCGAAATGAGCTGCTGCTGGCTCTCCATATCACATTTCCTAAGGGCCACTCACGTGATGATAGTGCGACATTATGACAATGACATTGCTGTAATTACCAGGCACATGCGTCTCTATCTGCACCCGCCCATCCCGGAGTGACAAGTCTCTTGTAGGCCAGGCTGGGGCTTATACCATCGCCGCCAGGAACAGCTTCCAGACCTTAACCCGTGGGAATATTTCCAAGGATGCTTCACACGCTCAGTTAAGCCGACAAGCACATGCAAGCAAGCAGCAAAAGCCGTTGTCCGGGATGCCAAAGTCAAGCAGAGCCATCATGCGATCCTCCACTTCGGCCGAGCCCACAACCTGCGCGGCGAAGGTGTGGGGCTGTCAGACTACCCGACGTCTGCAGCAGTACCAGCAGCACCAAGCGACTTCCATGGCCAGGACTTCGGGACACGCGGATGCAGCCATGAGTGCCATCTTGCCACCAGCCTTAGACGATTGGTATGAAAGGCCGCATGCGACGCATGGCCACATGGGCCGGCACCTGCAACTCAGATCCGTGGTTTGTCTTCACAACGCTGAGCGGCTGAGGAATTTCCGCCGATGCCCTTCATGAGGCAGTACTTCTGCGCGGCACCATGGGTGGCGGCCAAAGAACCTAATTCCGTGTACACGCGCATTGCCATTCGGCTGAAGTAGTAGAGCTCTTGCTGGTTCCTCTTCGCGTAGTTGGTGTAACCTCGGTTGAATCCTTCCCTCCAAAACGCTTCGGCAATACGTGGCGTTCACCAAAAAGCTTTTCTACCTCGCGCTTGCACAAACTTGCCACGGGGCCCTTCCCAGCGACGAGAACGCAGGGCTCACAAGAGAAGGCTGCGAGTTCCGGAAGCTGGAGGGAGTTGAACCAGTCTCCGTTCACACATTTCAGGGTCTCATGAGCATAGCGTTGGCCTGCACGGAAGGACTGATAGCGCTCCTGCCAGCACCCGACATTCAGTTCGGTACCATGCAGGAAGCTGGAGGGCAGGGGCCGCTTGCCGCGCCATACATGGGAGCTCGGCTCTCGGTAAGCCGGCCGAGCACAGGTCTCCACCCCCAGCCCACCCATGAGCAGCAGGGCATCGCACTGCTGGAACAAGTGCACATACCGGAACGACTTTGACATAATCGTGGCTTCGTTCTTCGCGGGCTCATCCTGGAGCAAGCTGGTGGACACTACCCGCGTCAGGTTGATGCCAGTGAGAATGAGGGCCGATGACCGGACGTCCGCGCAACGGGCGAAGATCTTGATGTAGGATTGCACTGCACAGGGGCATCGACGATCATGCGTGTTCAGATGCTATGAGTCTATAGTATGTGCTCTCAGCATCTTCTCGAAAGTGTGATTGCCGTATATCATACTGCACTCGGTGAGAATTGGGTTGGATTGCAATGAACTGGATTGGACTGGCTTGGAATTGAGTCAGATTCAGATGAGCTTGGGTCAAACTACTTTGGGCTCGTAGAGCATGTGCTTCTGCTGGCTACGTATAATCGGGGGCGAATGAAAAAACACGGTTTGAAACGGTGCTAATAGACAGTAGACTCAACAGAAATGACCTATAAGGCCTACCTTAAACTACCATAACCTACTTTATTGTAGGCTCTTATTATAAGCCCTAATATGGAATTTATAGGGACCCTACAAAATAGTAGGTTTTGGTAGTTCAAGGTAAGACAAAAAGAGCCAGGTACTCGTAGAATGGGGCCGGGCCTCCAGGGCCCTTGGGGGTGGGGGGGACATGTTATAGCACTCCTATAGGGCAAACATATGGCAAAGAAAAAGGCCTGCACTAGAAAGCTGCTCTATGGGTGGCACCTGTTCCGAGGGTACGGTTAAGAAGTCTCCTTAGTCTCACTGCGCGCGCACCCTGCTCATGAGACAGAGAGACAATGGTATTGACGGACGGAGTGCCTGATATGGATAAAAAATTTAATTACAGGGTCAGCAGGTGGATAGGTACAGTATCGGATAGCGTAGTAAGATCAGAACACTGAGTCAACGCAAAGGCGTGAGTCAGGATCGCGACACCTCTTCTGCCGATCAGGCCGGTTTTCCCTCAGTCGCGGGCCTCGGACAACTCTTCCCGGGCCCGTGGTGGCACGGCAGCTGTTGCCATCCGACCAGAGCCGAGCGCACTCCTTCTCGGAACCGCTGTGCGATTGGCACCAGCACCCAACCAGGACCTTCGGAGAAGGACAGCTTGCCACCGGACCTTCCTGCGTCACATGGCAGATGGCAGGAGGGAACCATACAATACCTCGAGAACCTGCAAATCAAAGGCATTCCCGTACATTCTCATCCTCCTTGTCGGACCAGTACCAGCCCTCGGCCGAACGGTCTTCCCAGTCCTGGGTGCTCTCATGAGTCTGTGGCGAGCAGAGAAACCCAAGCAGCCAAGCACACACAGCGGTTTGCCACCAAGGGTTCGCGAGCTGCCGGGTCGTCCAGCTTTCCGCACAAAGCCTGGGCATATCCACCTGAATGCACCCGATCATAACGATCATAAAGCTTCAGCACCGCGCAGCGGTGCTACAGTACGATGACAAGCATGAGCACCGACTTGACCGCAGGCACCTTTCGCACTGCAACTCTCGCCACTCCTCCAGACCCGCTTGCAGTGATGCCGGACGTCAGTCCAATGGCCCTGCTTCTCCCTGAAGTCGTCCGGATAGCAAGAGCATGAGAGGAGCCCTTGGCCCGCGCTCTCTCCAGACGGTTCAGCATCTTGTGCCTACTGCTGCCGAGAGTCGCTTTCCACTGGGACAAGATGCAGACACCTGAGATCTGTGGCATCTGGAGGCCCAGTGGGCCGAACAAGACCGGTCGTGCCTGTGCCGGCAGTGTGCGTCTGCGCCGAGAGCGTCTTCTGCGGGCGCGTCTGCGCCTGTCGGACCGGAGAGCACATAACGTAAGCAGCTGAGACCCCACTCACAACCTCTGCCGAAGAGGACTCCCCAAGCCTGGCGCGTCTTCTGCGCGCACGTCTGCGGCGACCTCATGTCCAAGTACGGCCCAGCCGTCACCAGCGGTGCATGCGCACAACAATTTTCTCTTTGCCAAGGTGGTGGCGGCGCCGGCGCCGGCGCCAGGATTGCACCCCGGAAACTGTGCAAACACGTCGTCGCAAAGTGTTTGAGGCTTTCAGGGCAGCAGGGAAGGCCCAGCCTGACTCCATGCCCTCTTGGGCAAGCACAACACCATGCTCCGACTTGAATGGCACCATCTCATCATCCTCGTCCTCCTCACACCGAAAATCTTTAGCGAAAGGCACGACATGAGCAGCGGCATTCGGGTCCTCGGAAAGGTCACCTTCATCTTCGGAGTCAACCTGGGATCTTTTCGTTTGTTCGGTTTCGGACTCCAGATGTCCAGATTGGAGCTGCACAGTCCCAGCAGCTTCAGCGTCGGGATCGTCTTCAACGTCTTCGGCTTCCTCGACTTCCTCGGCTTCCTCGCTATGCTCGTCGCCTTCGGAACTATCGGGAAGCTGGATGATTCACACCCACCCTCTGAGCCAAGCCAGGGCCTCCATCCAATGCACCGGGCTCCAGGGCCTTTTTCAGCACACGCATGTCGCAAAGATGCATCCAGAAGGAAACATAGGATAATATCTAAAAACACAATAGAGATAGAGTCATAGAAATGGGTAGAGCATGGTTTTATATATCTTTATGTATCAGTGCTTTTAAGATCAGAAGCATATATACTATATCAGCATGATATCATACTATATAAAGCACCCAGCCTCCGGGTCTTCCTCCTCTTCCTCGTGGGCATGCCCACCAGCATCCAGACCTTGTAGAGACCCGAAATCAGACCATCAGCATGTGACGAGACAGAGGCTAAGGCCCAGAGTCACTAAGCTCTGAACTCACCTCTAAGTCTACGTCGCCCTCGTCTTCCAGAGTATCCTCGGAAACGTTCTCGCCAGCTGCCGCCCCGCTCTGCAGAAAGCCTGGGCATGCGAACTGCATTTACTTCCCTCTCATCATCATTGGTGCATAACACACGACAGCGAGCAACCTTCGCTGTCTTAGGGCGGACTCAGTGTGACTTGTGGCTTCAGCCTCCAGGCTGTAGACCCAAGCTACGAATGATCCTGACCTCGTTCGGCTGCGGCTGCTTGTGCCGGAGAACAGTTCCACGAACTTTCGCGACATATACTTTCACCTACTCTAGTTGACGAGTACATGCTTATATTATCATTGCACTCTATTTCCTTGTTGCCTTTTCCGTCATGCAGGAGATCGTACACCATGCTGCCGACATGCCGTTGCTCCGTGGCATAAAAGGGCCTTCATAATGAGACTTAGGAGCCTTAAGGAAATACATAATTATATACTAATTAAGTATTCAAGCTTCTATATACTGATCATGATCGTCATGGCCGGGATCGCATCTGCTCTCACGACTTTCACGAGGAGGGGCCAAGCAAACCGCTTAACTCTATGAGAGAACGAGGCGCTAAAGCTCGCTCCGCTGGACGTGACGACTTGGAGATTGCGGATGTACCTTGGAGAACAAGCGAAACAAAAAAAAGACCTGCCCCAGCCGTCGCTCGAAAACCGACCCTCCCACTCCTAAACCCCAAACCCCTAAACCATCTTCGAGGCGCTCCAATTTCATGCAGCGCACGTGTGCTCTCACCGTCACGCCTTTGGAAGACCATCCGCTGACCTCCCGGCTCCTTGGTATCAAAGTAGTCTCGAGGCTTGCACGAATGCTTGGGAAGCCTACAATCATGAAGCGCTTTCCAAGCATCCCGTAGGCTTTGCATGTTTTGGGGTTGGATGCAGGCTCCATCTTTGCTCCGGCGCAGATGCCTGAATCTGCCTGGCGATCGTACAGCGCTCATCACGGTTGCACTCAGAGCCGAAGCTGGGAGATCTGTGGATATGCTTGCCAAGCTGCATAGCACGAGCAATGAGTCATCTTGGCTTGCAGTTATGCGCAGGGTGAGGTTGCAGCGAAGGTGCAACAAAAACGGGGGCAAGCACAGTCGTCGCGGAGTTGTTTGGGATCCTTCCCAACTGCACTGATCAAGTGGAAGCCCCACAAGCCTAAAGTACCCCCTAAGCCCCCTAGGGCCCCAATGCTGCTCAGAAGCTATCGTTCCCGAAGGGCAGCTCTTGGAAGCGATGCTGGATGAGGTCCCACTTCGAAGATCCTAGCTGTCCGATGTGCATCGCAGCATGGTGCAGCACAACCCGTAGTAATAGTAATAGTAATAGTAATAGTAATAGTAATAGTAATAGTAATAGTAATAGTAATAGTAATAGTAATAGTAATAGTAATAGTAATAGTAATAGTAATAGTAATAGTAATCGTAATAGTAATAGTAATAATGATAGTAATAGTAATAGTATTTATATCAGTGCCTTCGGCCTACAGTGTCTGGAAGGCTTTGGTGGAGCCGGGGCCTCCTACTCCTAATCCGTAGCCGTAGCCTCGCTCGCCCTGAGGCCAAGCCGCCTGCGGTGCCAGCGAATACTCGCTGGCTTCGAAATCGAAGACCAGCTCTCCTCGAGGAGTTGATGTTGATTTCCCTTGCCTTGTGCCAAAGGACGGCGTACATGGCGTCGACTTGTACAAACCACCTCAACACGCCACAGAGATATTTTTCTGCAAGTCGCTTCATCGCCGTTGATTGAGAAGACTCCGGCTGTGAAAGGGTCATCTGTGGGCCATGGTTCACCTCAGGATCATCTTTGCAGCAGGGGGCAGAAGTCTACACAATTTTGTGGGAGATTGGCGACGTGAGAGGACTTCAACTTATGATCCGGGTTGCCGCCACTTTGTGGTTGACCTGCCGCTGGTTGCTGCGGGTGAGAAGGCTCCACTCGTACTCCTCGGGGAGCACTCACACACTCTGCGAGCTGACATCTCTGTCTCCAGAATCATATGATACAACAAGATAAAACATGGCTGCAACATGTTGCAAGCTCCTGGTTTGGATTCAGGCCCTGCACTGTTGCGCTCGCAAGTCCTCCAATGGCTCTCACCTCAAAGCTTTGGCTTCAGAGTAAGAGTCTTTCGACATCACTTTCCACCGCATAAAATCTAAACCCTATACCCTCAACCCCAAACCCAAACCGTGGCAGCGGCAGAGTGGCATAACCGAAGGGCTTGAAGATCTCGGTCCATCCGAGCAGCTTCACAGTGGATATCTCTCCCAGTTTCTCCTAGCTTCAGGGACATGCAATATGAAATATTTTTATAGTTTATAATGTAGAGTGTAAATACAGTACATTTAACTATCTACAATGACAATTGTGATGTGACATGTGTGCTTTCTGTGTGTATATATGTATATATGTATGTATGTACATACATACATACATACATATATATATATATATATATATATACGTCCAAGTACAAGTATAAATATAAGATTACGCGCTCCCAAGGCCCATGTCCCACACAATGGGTCCGCATGCATAGTATGCCCGAGTCCTCATAGGTGACCTCGCGGCTCAACAGTCGGGAGGCGTTGTTCTGGAAGTCGGCTAAGCCTCCTGCGGGACAGAGTTCCTTAGGGTTCATAAGTGTTTATAGGGCTCCCTAGTTCGGTGCACTTGTCCTTGGTTGAAGAGAGCGGAAGAGAGAGTGAAGGATGGCGACACGCTCTCTGTCTGGGTCAGGAACTGCCTGGACGGTCACTCAAAAGCCGACTCAAAAGTCACGAAACCCGACTGTGACCCGGCTCGTTCCCGGTGTCTCATGCTCCACTACCTGTTTCCTCCCCTGCCACCAGAGCGCCAGAATCTGTCTAACCCATCCGAATCGCGACTTCAGACTGACTTTCAGAGGTTGTAGTCCAGGCTATGTCACGTCGGGTCGACGACAAACTGCCGAGCGCTCTGCCTCCGCATCGTCGTCTTCCAGCAGTGCTCCGGATTCGCAACTAGGCAGCTCATGTTCGAAGGCCTCAGCGGGGGTTCCGTGACCAGACTGAAAGATGCAAAGGGTACCGTCCGAGGGCACCACAGGGCATAGAGATCCCCGTCAATGCCGAACTCGCGTACCAAGCTGTCGCATCCATTAAAGAGACGGCACGTCTGGGCTCCATGGGAAGTGCCTCAGAAGTTTGAAGCAGCTTGAAGCATTTCCGCAAAAGCTGATGAAGCAAACTGCCGCAATCAAGAGGCCAGTCCAGTAGAAGGCGCAGTCCACCTCAGCTGTATTTCCTTTCTTTGCTGCAGGTCTGCCAACAGCCCACCGACTACCTGCATGCACAGATAATGTACTACTTTACTGCAGCATGACAATACTATACTTTGCAGTATTGCAAGTCTATATTACACTACGACCATTATTCTATGCCTTTTGCTATTACGATTACCATTACCCCACTACAACGTTACCATTACCATTGCTATTCATATTGCGATTACTATGACTTTCTGCTTAAACCAGTCAATATTACTACACTCAGGACGTGCGGCGAAGTCTTTGCACCTTTCCTGGCAGTCCGCCTTCTCGAAGGCTTCGGCCTGCTCAAAAATGTGGTTTCTCAATAACTGAAGCAGGTTCTTGCACGCAATATAATCAGAAAGAGGAACCCTATGTAAGCAATCGTGTTGGTAATTAGTCAGGCTTCCACAACCCCGCACGTGCAAACAAACAGAAAGCTGGCAAAGCTGGCAACCTAAGTCTTATATACCCATAGGCCCCATGGTAGTTCCTTTTTGGCTACTTTGGGGCCTTTGGGTAAGCCCCAAGGCCCAAGTAACCCCGAAAACCAGCCTCAGTCTCGAAGTAGATGCCCCTGGCTCCTGGAAGCAGCTGCCTGCTGACATGTCAGGTGTGCGACAGACGACAGATATATGCAACTCTGACCCAACTTTAGATTGAAAGGCTTGATCTTGTCTTGTCCAGCCTGGAGGGGCAGGCGAACTGGCCTTGAACAATGAGCAGTGGCGGGGGAATGAAGGCACCTTGCAGTGTCAGTGATGGCCGCTCCATAGGACACATGACCGAATGCTACAGAACGCCGGCTGAGACAAGAACCATCGCTGGCAGGAGGGAGGCCCTCTGCGACGAGAGCATTTGCGGGAAAGCCCAGGCCCCAGCCAGGCGGAACGCAGTCGCAAGGGTGCAGCCAGTAGTCGTCCGGCTGGAGTGTCGTCGGATCGTCGAAGACCAGAGGATGCAGAACATCATCGTCGACTTCGTGGGTCAGTGGCTGTGGACACTGTAGGGTAGCCCAGTCCAGTGAGATGGTGAAGCTTTCGGCGCCGGTGGTGTTCGTGGCGTTCTTCGTGCTGGGCACTCCTTGCTCCAGGCAGAGCATCTCTTCACCGGCCAGTTCGAAGTATCCCAGCTTCGGGTCCAAGTAATCCGCCTCGGGCCTTGCCCTTTGCACCAGCCAGCTTCCGCCAGCGCACTGAGATCTGGAACCACGCGGCACGCTGGCAAGATACATCACCTCCTGTGGAATCAGGCTGTCCTTCCGATAGACGGGGCCTCCACGGCGGATGTCGTACTCCACAGGACAGTAATCGCCCGCAACGACCCATTCAGGATGCTTGAGACGGATGCAGGTTGACAGGTCAGTGCAATCTGTGACCTTGGCATAGGTCATCACCGACGTCCCTTCCACAGTGTTGATTCGATAGTGTCGGCACGTGTCATCAGCATAGGTGAAATGGGAGCAGACCTTTGATTGACGACAGACCTGCCGGCAGTGTGTCTCCTCGGTGGTATGCTCCTCCCAGACAACTTCGCCGACGATCCGCTCCTTCACCCAGCATTTGTTGTCCTTAACCTTGAAGACCATCTGAGTGAAAATCGGTAGAAAGTCTGTCCCCGGGAAGAGACCGTACACTCCACAGTGCATTTGAAAGTTTTTCCGATGGGCCTGATTTGCCGTTATCTCATCGAACATCAGGGCCATGCTCTCGCTGGGCGCAAGAGCGATGCTTCCATCCGGCGAAACTTCGAGAATCTGATGATTCTGCAAGAGGCCTACGCCCCAATTGCGGTCGTAGGACCAGATCGGGACTCCAACGCTGCAGGAGATCACGAAAGAGGTCGGCTTGAGTCCCCCTGCACCTTCCTCGTATCCTTTCGGTGTCTTGAGCTTCAATGGTGGCAGCTGCTCGCCGACGACCACCTCCGCATAGGAGGACTCGTAGACCAGCTCTGGCCAAGGTCGAGGCCGGATCGCCGCAAAGGTGGCAGTCCTCTTGGTGTTATTCCCCTCGGTGGCTGTCACCACGCAGACCCCGCCATCCATCCCGGAGTAATCGTCCCCAGCCTCTGTCACGCCACCGGTGGCTTCGGCGCCGGTCTGGGAGGTGACGGTGCCAGAGGCATCGATAGAGAGCCACGACTGCTCGGGTGCACACACCATGCTGAAGTCCTGCAGCGTGCCCGAAGCAGCGACAGGGTAGGCTGGCATCTTCTGGGAGAAGACTAGAACAGAAGACGAGTAGGTCAGGTGCTCCACAACCACCGACACCTTCACCGTCTCCGAAAGACCGATTCCCTGGTGTGCGGTGATTTCGCACTGCACAGAAAAAGCCTCCGTCGGGCGGGCCATGGAGGCCTCGTAGGAGATCACGCCAGTGCTGCCGTCGAGGGTCAGGTTGCGGGCAGCCAGGTTGCAGTCGCCATTCACGGAGTACCTGGTGGCCGTTCGAGGAAAAGGCTCCAAGTGAACGGGGACACCTACAGCAAATCGCTTGTCCGCATACTTGAATGGCGTGGGGCTCTTGTGCCCTCCGTTGCACTTGCAGCAAGCCTGATTGCTGCTCTGGCCCTTTACTGGCCTGTCGTTGCAGTCCGCCTCTGCGATCCTGTCGCAGGATTCTCCCTTCTCGTTGACCCAGTCGATAGTGCTGAGGCAGGCCACGCATGCACCGTTGTGACGGAGGTAGCCGTCCTCGCACTTCTGGCACTTCCCCTCCGAGAAGACGGCACAACCCGCACATTCCGTGGAGTTGCTGGGGCAGCCTCAGTTGAAAGTATACCTACATGCGAATGCCATGCAGGGCAGCAAGCGTGACTTGCGAGCATAGAGAGTCGAGGCAAGCAGCAGCTCGTGGTGGTTTCATTGTGGAAGAACTGCCAGAGAGTGAGCTCTCCCGGGCAGAGATCCGTGTCTCGATCTCGGATCACGTCCGCCCTTGCCACTTCCCGAAGCTGTTGGGCCACCTCCAATGGCACCCTGGGAGCTTTGGCCTTGTGTTTTCGGCATTGGGCGGCAAGTCGGTTAAGGCTGCTGTTTGCTCCAAGCTCCTGAAAACCAGGATGAATGACAAGAATCACAGGACTTCCGTGTCTGCTGGGCGGAGCTCCTGAAGTTGCAATCCACCTTGCCAGCTTTCGTCCGCGATCGCAAGGTTCGACTCCAGCTCTTGCAACCGGCCTCAGTGGATGAATGTCGGGAATGCGGCCGTGTGCAATGCAGCCTGTAGAGCTGAGATGCTGGGGTCCAGGTGCGACTTGGCCTGGAGCAAGCCGGTGCCAACGGGTCTTGAAACGTCCTCGCAGTGGTCGTCAATGTCGACTGCACCTCGAAAGGAATCTGCAGCTGTTCAGCTCCCCTACAAGCAGACTGAAGGCAACCGGGTCACTTCCGTACAGCCAACATAGTCCGGTAAAGAAGCAAATTTGCCCATGTATGGGCAGCATCGGTAGATGCCCCGCCGCCGTACCTGTCAAGGATCAAGGGCATTGCAAAGGAGCCCAAGGCCCAAACAAGCAGCGGTGTGAGTACCATAAGGGTCTGAATCGATATATCGTAGCATAACAGTATATAGGAACCGTGTGGCAGAAGGTTGGGAGTCGAAAATATTCAGCTTTTTGTGGTAATACAACACCAAACTAAGGAGCCCCAAGACATAATGCTGAGGTTATCCCGACTTTTATGTAAAGTAGAAGCACATATAAGCATGATAAGTAAGCCCAGAGATTGCTATTCGTAGTGATTCCTACCTCGACTATACATGTTATAAGCATAATAAGGAACCTTAAGGAAGAATGCTCGCACTTATTCCGAGCCATATATATATATATATATATATATGTATATGTATATGTATATGTATATGTATATGCATATGTATATGTATATGTATATGTATGTATACAGGTATGCACCTGTATGTATGTATGTCTGTATGTATGTATGTGTATGTGTGAAGGCATATACACACTATAGCAATATAATACAGACCACAGGCTGTAGTTATTCCTACCTCTCTCTCCCTCTCGCTCTCTCTCTCTCTCTCTCTCTCTGTCTGTCTGTCTGTCTCTGTGTGTATATATATATATAATTACATATATATATATATATACAGTTATATGTGCATATATATATATGTATATATATATATATATAGTATCAGTATAGTCAAGAACCTGGAGGACTACTGCTCGTAATTATTGCGACCCCTGTTGCACCTGTCTGCAATATCCGCTGGAGTTCCCTTTTTGGTTTAGCCGGTTTTGCATTTAAACCAAGGATCCTATAAGGCAACCAACGCAAAACGGAGACTGAGCACTAATCCTGCTAATTGTTCCGACGGTTCCGTCATGGGCCTCTGCGCCGAGGCGCGAGATGGCAGAGGGAGACTTTGCATGAACTCTGAGAGCCAAATTGGGCTTCGGAGGGTTTAGGGTCTAATAGGGGGCAGGCTTCCGGGTTTAGGATTTAAGGGTATTGAAGCTTGTCGTGCCATGTGAGGCACAGGACAACGACAACGACCACGACGTGGGAGACGCCCCTGCAGCGCGAATCTATGCTCAATGTGATGTGGGTCCACCCTGCCTGCTGTCACCATCAATCCTATGATCGCGCACGCTGGTGGCAACTTTTTTAGTCAGTCACCATGTCGAACCAGGCTTGGCACGTACCTCTGCTGTTCTTGGCATCCTAGCAAATCGCACCAGTCCGGGCATGTTGGCTTCAAACTCGCGATGGCTAATAACAAAAGCACGACATAAAGCTTATGCAAAGCTTGCAAGTTGCCACTTCGACATCAGGTGGAGGTACTGCGACCAGCCAGCTCGGATGAGCTGTGTCACCTTAGGCTCGGAAAGCAAGCGTCGGCTCGAGATCTGCAGTGCAGGGCTTGAGTTCCTCTGCTACGGAGACGAATACCCGTCTTGAAATCTCGAATCGCACGTTCTCGGCATTCCGGAATCGATCGCCACAGCTCATCTCTTGATATAACTGACATTCGCATCCTCTGTTTGAGACACCCAAATTGACGGATGCAGGAAGATGCAGGAGGACTTCAGCCTGCTAATGGCATCCACGTCGCTGCTGCCACGACAGCATCCAAGGGCGCACATCCAGTGGGCGCCTCCACAACTAGAGAAGGTAGAAGCTCGTTGGTGATCTCCTGCGTCACGGGCATGATCACGGCCCAAGGAGTCTATCGGAACGCAGGAGAGGATTAGCGGTTCAGACGTGGAAGCTTTGTAGTCTATGTGAGGCTGCGCTGAAACCAGCACTGCATGCAATCCCTGTGTCTGCAGTCAGTACGGTAGATGCAGCAAGGTGTATGGTAGCAAAGTTCAACGACACATGTTTCTCGGTCGCAGCTCCCTCTCTGAAAGGCGTGAAGAAACTGCTGTCAAGCAGGTTGCAGCCACTTCCACACTCCGTGCAACGACGACAGCAATAGTAATAGCAAGGTGCTGCTGGTGTGCTCCTGCTTGGCTGCTGCACCCCGCTGCCGGCCAGATCAGCAACAGCGAAACCGCAACCATCAACAACGAGAAGACAGCAACAGCAACAAGAGCAGCGGCATCGGCTGGACTGCTGTAGCTGCTACAGCAGCTGCACCACTACATTAACCGCAACAAGCACGGCTCAGTCCGTTTCCTATCACACGAACCCGGCTTGTGCTGAAGACGAAGACTGGCAACCAGTATTCGCGTGCAGCCACTGCAAGAAACTGGGCCACACTCTCGCCAACTAACAGATACGCGAAACCCAACAGCCCAAACCCCCAAAACCCATTAGCTTGCAAACCAGAGCCTTTTTCGTAGTTTACTGTACGGGGTTATATAGTATACTTATACAGTTACGATTATGGGAGTCATGCTTGTCTGGTCTTCGAGTCGGGGGGCATCATTTCGGCTCTTGTGGGATCATGGCATGCCTTGGAACTAGAACAAAAAACTCGGCCTGGAGGTCTCGGGTTTAGGGTTTGTACCCAAGGCTCCTTTGTTCCATTCTCGATGCCTCTGAGCAGGATGTCCGCCACGCTCTCAGCGCTTGAGACCTCTAACTGACCAGACGCTTGCCGCTTGCCAAGCTCAGATTGAGCCCTACTCGCTACCTCGCGGTTTGAAGCCTATAGGGCCCAGGGCCTACAGGGTGCTCTGCTTTCTCGGGTGGAAAGCCTGAGGCACGAGGTTCCACACCCGGAGAATTCTGTCTGCATGTCCTCAAGTTGCCTGACCAAAGCTACTTCAAAGGCCTGTCGCAAGACTCCCACGATAGTACTTTGTCAACGTCAACCTTTAGTATATTAGTAGATTCGTTTACTGTAGCTTGCAAATAAATGGCTCAGTCCTTGCGCGCGGAATGCTTAAACAAGGGCTTTGGGTGTGAATGACGCTGCCAGACTAGAGCTCTTTGTGAGTGGATGCATCATGCCCATCCCGTGATGACTGGTATCCCGATATTGAAGGCTTTAGAGTTTCAGGGTTAAGGGTTTAGAGCTTCGGGAAATATAACATGAAAGCATATGTCCTAAAGATCGACACCGAACCCTGAGCCATAAAGCTTCAGGCTTGTGTCCCTCACCGCCTCAACCTACATCGTCAGCTGCAGCCTGAGACCCAACAAAAGAGATGAAACCGCTAGGCACCCTTGCAACAACCCTGATGTGACACATTGTGACACATACCGATTGGAAGAGCTGCTTTACACTAAAGCGTATTCCGGGCAAGGCACATCGGAGCATTGTGACTCAATCCTGCAGGAGTTGGGCGATGTGGGTTCTTAGACATCCAGTCCTTCTAACCTTAACCCTCAACTCTAAACTCTAACTTAAATCCAAAACCCCACACTGAGTTATTACGAAAATGCCAGTGGCCGGCTGAGACGTGACTATACCCCTGAGACAACAAATTTCCTATGTGGTTCCAAGATAGTGGAACATCAATGCGAGCATTAGTTGATGTCTTCATGAGTCGTACCCCTCACAGGCAATAGTGACAAAAGCTTCCGTTCTCTGAGGATGCCCGCTTACTCAGTATCTTAGGAACTAAAGGATTATGTACGGAGCAAGTATACTACCCCAAAAGCTTAGCGGCTACTGTTTCTACTGCTAAACCACTAGTATCAAAATTACCTCAGTCATGGCCGTCACTCAGTATCGTCACCATCAAAGTGATCGTCATGACTGTTGCCTGTCAGGTTGTTGCCCAGATCGTTCGGAACAGTTTGACTCCCATGATTGTCTATGCTGTCTGTCCAGCCATTATTATCAGCATTGCACATGTTTGAAGTGTGCTTGGCCAGCGTCACGTTCATTAGCATTGCCATGGCGGTCGACGCTTTGTTCATGAGCTGCAGCATGCCATCATCTTCTCGCATGGTGGCTTGATGAGGCAGATGATATCCGTGCTGCTGGTGATGGCGGAGAAGAAGATACGAAACATACCACGACGAGTAGGATGCGGAGGCCCATCACGGTGACGAGGACGGTCATGGCGAACATGATGGTGATGGAGGGCTCAGTGCCTGAGGGCTTTGCACATGCGCAGTGTACTTGATACAAGGCCGCCGTGAATGCCCAAGTCTGAGCTGGTTGATTGCAAGGGCAACTTGGGTCTGCACAGCCATCAAGGACACTCGTCGAGATTGGTGATGCCGGGCTCTAAGAACAGCACCCACAGGCACTTTATGACATATGAAGCCATCATCATTACCAACTCATTACCAAGTAACAAGCTCTGGCATATGCTTGGTGACAGGAGGTGCCGCTTGCGCAGTGTAAGGTATGAAAAACCCGGTCCTCAAGGTGACCGGCGGCATCTGTCGTTTTTCTTCTTGAAAGCCCGGAGTGTTGATACCTGGCAGGAATAATTTGCCAAAGACATCGCTGCACCATTGTGGAAATTAGAGAAGGCCCTCGAACAATGACCGCACAGCCGTACAGCTAACCGTTGTCAACGACTGTGCTGTTGAGAGGACGGCACCCAGCAAAACACTACACCAGCGAAAGCAAATTGATCAGTCCAAACTTTCCATTCCAAACTCTGAACAACAGAACTATCTACTCTGGAAGTCTTGCTCCGTCTGCAATGTTTATCGCTGTTCTGCCACAAGGCCGGAAACCCCCAGCACAGAAACCCACTTTGGAAGAACTGTTCATAGGGCTTTGCAAAGACGGGCCTGGCCCCGAGCGTTGATGACCCTGCACCAGGAGGTCCGAAAGTCCGAACTCTGAAGGGGCTTAGGGTTTAGGTTGGGGTTCAGGGGTTTCAAAAGCCTCCCAACAACACAATCACCAGAGCACAGCACACCTCCGCGACAAACCCAGCTGTCTGAATTTCGAGGACAAGGGGCTACCTGGATAGTAGACTGAGAGATGGACACCATGTCGGCGCAGCTCGTGGTAGGCACCCGCTAGGAAGCCTGCACATACTGACTCCAGTTGCCCGAGCATGGCCCCCAAAGCTCGACTCTACTATAATGTTGCGTGGGCTTGTTATAGTGATAATTGGGACAGGGAGCCCCAAGGAATTGCATTTGCAACTACTCAAGATGCTTCAGGCGTTCGATGTGTGTGCAAATACTCAAGCTTCTATATAACATCACTATAATGCATGTTTCGGGCTTTCGGGCCGCTTCAGGCTGCAGACGGGGGCTTGCTGGATGAACTCAGCTTCCGCCCTGTTGTGACACTGGGATGGACACCCTTCATTAGTTAGTTACCCTGTGATCCAGAGCTTTACCACCGGCAATGAATGCAACCACTTCTGCGATCTTCCTTATACTTCGATGCTGGATCGCTGCCACGCGCACGCAGCTTGCTGCAAGCTGCGCGCGTGTGGGGCTCTGCCAAGCCACTCTGGCTTCTCTTAAGGTTTGGCTCGCCGAAGCATGTGGTGGCTCGGCATGGGGAGCACTCAAGTGAAGCAGAAGCGAACTGGATCCGTCGATGCCCCTCCGGACTTGGCGCTGGCCCAGTTGCGAAGTTCACTCGTCGGGTGCAGTCTTACTTCGTCTTCAACGGCATGCGACACGATATAGGGGCCTTGTAGCATGTTCGATAAGTGTTTTTCGGAAGGGGGTGTTGCTTTACTGTACTATTCTCTGCTCTACTATACTATATTAGACTACTGCATACTCGACTATACTAGAATACACCTGACTATATAATCTTTATATATATATATATATGTGTATATATATATACAGATATGAATACATGTTTTGTTTATCTTGCGGACTATGACGACTATAGGGCAATGAAATGCCTGATTGTGTAGGCTTCTTTGTTGGAACACTTGAGGCCAGGGACCTGCCGGTCTTCGACGAAGGGGAGCTGAAAGGTAGGATGTAACTAAAGTCTCCATTATGGGGGGTTCTATAAACTACCCTTAGTAGTATAGGGCCCCAAATTGGGGGATCTACTTCTAAAGTCTCCATTGTAGACCTTTTTTGGTTGAACAAAATTAAAATTTATGCGCTGGATTGTGTAGTAAGAGGCTACAGCGAAGACTGTAGGTTGTCTTAGGCTTTGGGCTTACCGCCTAGGGCCCCACCTCGGTGTCCAAACTTGGTGGCAGAGTAGATGGAGTAGCCTCAATGAGGGACTGAAGTCACTGGCCCTACAGGCGGTCTTACATAAGTGCGAGCCGGCGATCATTGGGAATCATTCCCGTCAGGGGCATGCCAGCGACAGGCTCCATAATGCATCAAGAAGCGAATCCGACTTAGAAATGAACATTGGCAGGATGATCGGACTGACTGATACATCGGCTCCCCATCAATATCTTTAAAGCAGTTGCGGATAAGGCCACCTGGCAAGGAGATCAAGCCAGCCGCCGAGGACACGATGCAAATTCGACCACCTTCAACGGCAGCCGGCTCAGAGCTCAGGGCTGTGGGTTCAACCTGCATCTCCAGAATTTAGGGAGAAACCGAGATTGAAGATTACGCGATGCCAAACATCTCCGTAAGAACCACTTGGGAGTTTCCGGGCCGGACGACACAAACCACCTTCAGGCCATCTCCACTCGAAGAGGGCTTGCCTACCCAACGAAACCAGGATGCCTACTTGTACTATCCTTCTCCAGGATTGCCTTGGCCGTCGCTGGCCATCACTTGGCCCGCAGCAATGGCCTGAGCATTCACGATCTTGAAGAACCCTGTGCGGCGCCGAAAACCCCTACTGTACGTAACTCCCCGAAACTCGATTCCCTAAACCCCTTTGCAAACCCTCCACTCCTGCAAATCATTAAAAAGCACCTCCGAAGGACAATTGAGAATACAAGACGGCCAATGCACGCGGTATTCTGGCAGCTTGCGTTTCGAAGAACTCAGGGGGGCTGAAGCTTTTAACAGGATGTTTGAAGGGACCTGCATTTACTGGTCTTGGGCTCTCCGGAAACTTAGCCACTGAACTCTTTCGCGGCACGCATCTGAGGCTGCCCATAAGATTTGTCGAGATCTGCGCCTCTCGGGAGGGATGCGCGCGCAGCTGGGGCTACTGGTCCAAGTGGCGTCATCCGGGCGTAGAGAACTAGAATAGGCCAATAGGTTCTTGATGTCCATTCGAAAAAAAGTGTAGGCATGCTAGTACTACCAAATCCGATCCCTGTTCAGATTCACAAGAATGATGTGCCTGCAAGAGTAGCTTCAGGGTTTCGGGGAAGCTTGATTCTCCAAACGCCAGAAGCATTCACGGGACAATGCTGTCCGGCATTTTCTGTCTGTCCGGCGTCTCGGGCACCCCCCTTGCCTTTTGTACCTCAGTTCGGGCTTCAAACCATGGGCCGAAAAGTCCGCCAAGAGCCTCGAAGAAAAAATGGCCAACCCCTTCCCCCAAAAGTCTCAGGAGCCCAGGTAAACAGCCTCCATCAAGTCGTCAAGCTGGGTCAGCTCCGACCCAACAAGCAACTTTGCAACACCTTCAGCTGTTTCGGGCCTTTTCGGGTTCTACTTAGTGTCCTTGGTTCAAGATTGCTGCTGGAGAGTTGTTGAGCCACTTGGCTTTCTCTGCTCTACGATGCATACCAGAGCTTCAGCCGGGACGGGGGTTGATTTGCTGGAGCTCAATGTTTTTCAGGGTTAGTGGCACCTTCGGATTGAGAAAGGAGGGTTTTGAATTTGAGGTGCGCGAGAACTGCGCTAGCACCATAAAGCCACCACTTACATCCTTTTCGGCAGCACCTGCCTGTCCCGGCATTGGCCACCACCACATCCACACGCCCGAAGCTTTCTGCAGCGCGCCCCATGAGCTCGGAGAAGGTACTGCCTCGGCCAGGAGTGTGCGGGTTCTGAGGAGCTTTTAGTGATTAGGACGTAAAGTGCCAGGGATTTTGAAACGGTGTTTAAGAGCACTGTGGTAGTGTAGGGCCCTGTTGGCTCGTTCGAAATCACTTTTTCATCCTGAATCCATCATTGGGCCCTGTACACTTCATACTGGAGACGTCCATCTCCAAGTATTGAATCTTTGCTCCTTGCCAGAGCGATGTGCGTGGGCGCTGGGCAGTGGAGGGCACAAGAACGACGATAGGTGTCTGAGTCTTGGCTAAGGCCGGACAACGTTGAGAAACTCTCATCTTGTCTTGTCACCTAACAGCATGGAGGTGCGTGGACCCGACAGGGTGATCTAGGGGCCTGAAGGCCGGGAGGGGGGGTGGGGGGGTGGGGGGGTGGGCGGGCATACTAGTACAACTAGTAACTAGATTCGGGCTATAAGCAAGTACCGGTATTAATCACTCAGACCCCTTATTACATTATACATCGACTCTTCCAAGGTCCCCGAGAGCACGTGCACTGGAATCGATCAGAAGACTGCGTCGGGCTTCGGGATGGATTCGCACGACAGACAACTATAAGCCCTAACCCAAAACTTTCACCAGTAACCGAACAGCCCTCACTACTACGACGCTTCCTTACCACTACCCTGCAACCTACTGAAACCATAGTCGGGCTTAGCTCTGATTTCTCGAAACCCCAATCGACTGAGCCCATGAACCCTTAAGAGCCGTCCTGTGGCAGCTCCTTGGCTCCGAGCCTCCTCGCACGCCTGCCTTTGCTAGAAGTACCGGAGGTGACTTGTCGGGTTTGGGGCTTAGGGCTTTGGGGGCTTATATAGGGCTTAGGAGCCTGAACGCTTGGAAGCTGTCTACTGTAATACTGTAATGCAAGCGCATGTGCTTCTGTCTGCTTGAATCTGTGTGTGCATGCAAAGGTTTGCAACATGCTCACTCTTTAGAGGAGTAGTCCCCGTGAACCCGTGTCACAACTCTGCAGCCCAACCCTAAATCGTCATCAAGGAGAGGTTGGCCGGTTGGTCCACGGTGATGCTGCATGCTTCTTCTCCCGAACCTCTAGGCTTAACATAGGGGCAGGCAATATCAGAACACAGTCTGGGGTGCATTATACTGTAACCGCTATGAGGAAGCCTGAGGAATAGTTTATATTGGTCATTGTTCAAGCTCCTACATTAGGTTCGAGATTTTGGCACAAAGTATTGTTTCCGAAGAGCTCAAGCTTGGCTTTCGTCCGCGCAACGATTGTCACCCTGGCGCCCCGTGCGAAGCAAAGTTTGGCAAAGGCAAGCCTGAGAAGGCTGGAACTCAGTCGTTCTGCTCTTATCTCTATCATTTAGGAGGGTTGAGGTACTCGTCCAGTATCCTAGGGGAACTCAAGATTAACCTTTGGGATTATAGAAAGACTACAGTACCGAAACCTGTTAAAGTTCCTCCTCTACAAAAAAGCCCATTACGTACCTTTTTCTGTTTTGTTGCTTCCAAGGTCTCTCGGTGCTGCTAGCTCTACCTATAGGCAGAGGTCCATAACTTAATCAGAACTAGGCCTTGTGATGATGAGAGCAATTCTGTGCTGGACTGAGTTTTGCGAGTGACGGTCGTACCGGAAACAAACAAACCATGAGCGAACATGAGCGACAAGGTTACTACCTCAATGGTGGAACAACAAAGCAGATGCAGAAATCTGTACATGCACAAACACGCGCTGCCGATGTCAATGTGCCCGTGCATCCTGTGCGCACATCCGGGGTTTAACATGTCAGTATGGAAGCTCCGAGTAGTGGAGGGCACGACGTGCGAGGTAGATAGCTACCAAAACTTATGTGGAAGTGCAGGCATGTATGCGTGGTAGGCATGTAGGTGTGTACACGTATCTGTGCATATATATATATATATATATATGTATATATATATATATATACATATATATGTATGTATATGTTTACGCATAGATTTCTAAGAATACATATCTAATGTATACATATATATATATATATGTGTATACATATACATATACATATATACATAATCATATATGTATAGTTTTACATACATGTTCTGTACACACACAGAGAGATGATTTTGCACAGGCATATACATGTAGATGTCTATCTATCGTAAGCTACACACACACACAAGTTCTACATGAGGCGGGGCAACAGCCTTCATGCATCATGCGGCGTTCCTCTTCTAACGTGCAGAGCAGCAGCATGACATGTTTTCGCAGATATCGAACTAAGTACATTGAATCACATCCTGAGCTGTTTTACTAATGATCACGAAATAAACAACCACCTGCTTGAGCATTCAAGTTGCTGGAGTTACAGCTGCTGTTGTAGTTCCTGTTTTAGCATAGCACACTGCATTCCAGCAAGGTCTGTGACTCGGGAACACCTATTCTATCCACTGTCCGTCTGTCTCTCTGTCTGTCTGTCTGTCGGTCTGCATGCATGTGATGAATGTCTGCATGCATGTATGAAACGTGATGTAATCCAATGTAGTGTAATTCATGTACGTATGTTCTGTATGCCTGCATGTATGTATGTATGTATCTACAAATTTCTATATCTCAGTGTGTATGTACACCTACATGCATGCACGTGTGCGTGCGTGTCCCAAAATCAAACTTACAAATCCCCTCTCGGCACCAACTTAGGCGTGACCTTCGGCCGAGGAGCCCAAGCCCTTGAGAACCCCCTGTGATGAGCACGTGCTTGCCCTCAACCGACCTCGGGTCGGATTTCTGTGTTTTGGGCTGACGGTTTGGGTTTAGAGTTGGAGTTTAGGGCGTTTCAAGATTTGGTTCGAAATTTCTGCTGAAGCGTCAGAGGGTTTCAAGAGCTGAGGGCTTAATCGCAATGGTTTGGCGAAGACATCGTCGTGTCGACTCGGAGATAAGACTTTCATCTGCAAGACTTTCATCTGCTTAGAGGCACGGCCATTAGGGCTTGGGGGGCCACCGCAAGTCTAAGCATCTTCGTATCAAGCCTTTCAGCCTTCCTGGCAATTAACCTCGCATGTGTACGGCTTCTGGGTGATTTCGAGCTGCAAGATGGGGCATCTTGAAACTTTGGCAGTTGTTGAAGTCACTTCATGGGGTTCAAGCTACTGGGGATTTAACGGGTTTCCAGCACTTACAAAGTAGGATTTGGTTGCCTTTCAGGATGTAGCAGCGAAGGTTTTCGCATTGCGGCCTCTGGAAGGCTTTTCGCTTGGGGAGGCAGCTTGGGCATCTAGGGATGCATGCTTCTGTTGAGCCTACCGGGTTCATGGAATCTTGGCTTCTCGGTAAGAACCGCAACGCTCGGGTGGGGAGTGTGTATAGCTCGCTGCAAGCAATACCCAGTAAATCAAAGCTACTGCTGGAATAAGCTTCAAGAATCATAGCTCTGTCTAGGACGGAACTCCACAGTAACGTATGCCCATGCAAGCGTTGAGCAAGTTTCCGGCTGCGGCAGGTCATCCACATATCTTATACGGGTAAAGAGACGCCGAACGTGCAAACACTGTAGGGCAGCGACATCTTCGCCCTGGAAAAGAAATTCCATGCCATCTGCAGTGTGCAGACACCAGCAGCGGCCAAGCAAAGCTCCAAAATCATGGTGCGCAGGGCGAGACCACCTATCTGCAGCTGCCACTGCTAGGGCTGGAGCCAAACGCTGTATGCACTGGAAATACTACAGTACTACAAAAACAGAACTGCAGACAGTTCTGACCATGTTGAGATACGGGAACTGGACGACTATGAACCATCCAGAACAGGGATTTGGAAGCCAGCAGAACCAAAACTGCACATCTTCGGGTGCACGCACAGTTGCAGAAAGTGTGTCTGTGCCTGGGTGCATGTGAGAGAGAGAGAGAGAGAGTGTGTGTGTGTGTGTGTGTGTGGGTGTGTGCGTGTGCGTGTGTCTGTGTGTGTGTGTGTGTGTGTGTGTCTGTGTGTGTGTGTGTGTGTTTGTGTGTGTGTGTGTGTGTGTGTCTGCGTGTGTGTGTGTGTGTGTGCATATATATATATATATATATATATATATATATATATATATATCATATGAAAGTACTGACAAAGATGTGTGTCAAATAGAAACACGGGACTTTGTGGCTTTGGCTCGAATCAAGCGCAGCAGCTGCAGTTTGGCATCCGCCGTATTTCCACGCACATTCACACATATGGAAACTGCAGGCACAGGCACACTAACTACCGCCGTCCACCCAATTAAAGCCGACCGCTGAAGGGGAACAGGCCCCGAAGAACACCAAATACCCCAACACAGGCAGAAGGGGAATCCTGACATTGTATTGACACTACAACGGAAGTCTGGGATTACACATCAGGGATTGAACTGAAGGTGCGCTAGCTAGGGTTGAAGCAAGGAGTATCAGGAATCGACTCTTCTAGATGGCACGGAACTATCGAGAAATAGTACTGGAGAAATGCACCAAGCAATACGTCAAAGGCAGGTGTCAGCGGGCCGAAACACGCGAAACATCGGTGAATTTGGACTGGGGCTAGGATGCATAGACGTGTACAACAACTACATGCCGATGAATATGTACCCATGCATGCATGCGTGCATGTCGTGCAATTGCGTGGAAACATTTTCTAGGTGCAGATCCAACGGCTTCAGTAATTGCAGTATCGGTACATGAGGCAAAACTAGCGACAAACACACAACATGTCAAAAATATACCAACCGAAAGAGAACGACAACGAACAAGTAGACTGCGCACCGAAGGACTTACATGCATATCACGTATGTACGGCCGGTACGATCCCAACAAATGCTGAAGAAGCATCGTCCAAAGTAAGGCGAGTGTGTGAGAGACAAAAAGGTTTAACAACCTGATCTTCCTGCTTTGCTGTGACCTGGGCCACTGACGCAGCAAGGCCAAGTCGCACTCGTGCGACGTTTTCACGCGCAGGGCCTCGGCTGCACGCCACTGGCAATACGATGTCAACTGACTATGTACTAGACTGTAGCATCATAAGATACTAGAATATGAGATGTTACAACATACTGTCGCTTTTCGAAGCCATACCGTGAATCGACTGTACTTCAACTTCAAAACACACCATTGTCGCATAGTATACGATCATGTAGTACAGCATAGACAGGAAGTCTTGGGATCCGGGAAGAAGCTGAAAACTTAGAATGAGCCCAAACACCAAGCACGATGAACCCTGAGAGTCGGAGTTTTTGGCGGCACCTGCAGAGATCTGCGGGTTTAGAGTCTAGTTCGGTAGCAGCAACTCTTTGGCGAGTGGATGCCCTTTGGGGCCATTCTGTTACGCTGCTGCATCTACGACCACGACTACTGCAGTAGCACGAGCGACAGCAGCAGAACAGGAGGTTTTCCCATGCTTTGAAAGGTTCCTCCCTGAATCTTGAAGGCCGCGCAGATCCTGAAAGCCAAAGCGCTGGGTACTTCATGGCATCGCCGGCCTTCCGAACCTGTGGAGGAGTCGGGACCCTAGCCAGAAGTCGCTTTGAGAACATCATGTTCAACATCAAAAGCAATCGCATAGGCCTGAGACGCTCAGGATCAGAGGAGGACGTCCTACAACGACGAGATGTTCTCGCTTGGTATTTTGGGGTTCGGAGATCCTAGATGAATCAGCATAGCCTGATTGTCATCACCAGCGATCAGCACTCCACCATGGCTCGACGACTCCCAGGAAGCCCCACTAAGTCGCAATCGAAGGTCCCAAGCCATCTAAGCGATACCCAACACGTAGTCGAACGGGATTGCTGCCAGCGAGGCTATTCCAAGAGAAGTGCTGGCTGCAAACCTAAACCTTCGGAAACGTCTGCAACGCTGATTCAGGCTTCCACGACCGACCTCGACGTAGGTTGCATCGGCGACCACATGTGCATTCGTGAGGATGCACCTCATTTGCAACGTCTTGCATTTACTGCTTCGGCTTCGTGGTATTGACACCGGAACCAACTGCGAACCGCAGAACTCAAGCAATGGAGTGCCTTGCATGATCGCCTCTTGGAGATTGGTGACGCCGAGGCTGATGACTAGTCATATCAGTACTGACATGAACTGAGTAATACTAATACAAGGAATGGCAAAGGAGTTGCTCTGCGCGAGATCGGACTGCAACCTTTCTCCCAGTGATCGAAAGCACCACATACCCGTGTCTCAACTGTTACGATCTCAAAAGCTACCGTCAATCGTGCATTATCTGGGGACCAACTGTAACGGGACGTCAATTAATATGGTACTAATGGTATCCCTGCCCCTGCCCCGCCCCTACCCCTGCCCCTGGCCTCCCTACAATGGTCCTAGATAGTTGCATGCCTATTCATGCCCTTATATTAGCCGGTATGTAATCCATTAGAAAAGCCGTTTAGCGCAAAGTTGTGGTATGTTGCTTAGGCTGAATGCGTTCAGAAGCGCTGCGCCGCTTATGCAAGGTGATCTAAGTCCAGAAGTTCAGAAACTACGCATCCTTATAAGGCTAAGCCCTATATACACCTTAAACCAAAAAACCTACGACCCAAAAAGCATCATGAAATCTATGCCCTCAACACAATCAAAATCTCGCACCTTTAACCCACAAAACCCGAAAGCCTTTAAGCCCAAAACCCAATCCTTAAAGCCTCTGAGCCCTGGAAGCCGAACCAACAGGCCCTGCAGACCCCCAAACCCCCCAAATCTTCCGAGAAGCTCTTTGCCTTCATGGAGGATGACGCAGCCAGATCCCGAAGTCTCCTCATGCTCCGCGGTGGGTTTAGGACTTGGGGTTAGGGTTACGGGTGTAGGACTTCGGGTTCAGGGCAGGTTTACGAGGGTGCTAAACAACCGGCTCTCTAAAGGTCTGGGTATAGGTGTTGGGCTTGTGGGATATGGCTGCAGGGATTGTCAGGGTTTGAGTTGGGCGTACGCATCAGTTGGTCCTGTATACTCCAGTTGAACACTTCCCGTCCCCTACCTTGAAATCAAGCGCAGCGTGCAAACTGAAACATATTGTTTGCAGTCGAGTTACGCACAATGTGTACAGTGTACATTGATCTTGCAGGCGTGTATCGTGACTGCCTATTGCCTAGTCCAAGAGCGAACACAATGCCTCGAATAGTTAGAAGAGCCTTTCAGAGGGTTGTTTCAGTGGGCTTTGTAAGGGCCTTATATAGGTTTCAGTTAAAGCATAAGTACCCCGAAACCTTCTTCCAGTCAGCATGCCCGTCCCGTCTTCCCCTTGCAATTAGTATGGGGAGTTTCAGAAAACCAAAGTACCTTCTTTGGGATTCTGGCAGTCAGGATCCCATTGCTTCGGCTTCTCTGCTAGGGTCAGACTTTTCCGAAACTGCCGCACAGAGTAAAGATTTAAGTTGCAAAGTCCGGAGAGTACAACTGAAGCTCTAGACCTGAAGCCTAACATATGGGCCTTGTAGACCGAGAAAGGATTTTCGAGAATGTTGCGATATGTGTAAACATATGTATATGTGTTGCGATATGTGTCAACGTACGTATGTATACATGCATATATAAAGATACACATACAGGGACTTTGGGGGATTATGCCACTCACAATTCAGATTGGAACCACTATACCGTACCTCCTAGGCCTAAACGCAATACATCGTAACCTGCATAAACCCTAAACCTGATAAACCCTGAACCCTAACAGTATTTTGCACCAACCCCTCGCAGGCGCGCAGGCCTCTTGAGGCTTGTTGCTCCAAGGAGCTTGCGGATCTTGGCCTGGAATTGGTTTTTAGACTTTCGGGTTTTAGGGTTTTGTGATTAGGTTTTGAGGGCTGAGGGGCTTCGGGTTAAGATTTGGGCTTTAGGGTTCAGTGTGCTGACGCTTCTCTCATATTATTGGTCTGCTCTTGCTAATGTGGGGCCTTGGAGCTTTCTGCTGGTGCAACTGTTGCAAGGCCCCGACCTCGAGCTCCAGCAACTTGCGTTCGCAGATACCGTTGATAGTGCCAAATTCTACATCATGCGTAGAAGTATTAGCAAGTAACTTCTGGCCAGAATGATACCCTAAACCCTAAGCCTTGCCTTAACAACAAATTAAAATCCAAACATGTAGTTTTGAATACCAACCAGTCTCGAAAAGCTTAAGATGCCCCAATACTGCCAACACCAAGATGACCTACACGCGCTTCCGAGCAACTCGAAAAGCAAGATGCACATGATGTCACCACCACTACGGCAGGGTTCCTAAACCTCAAACTCTAAATGCCCAGAGTCAAACTCCAGGGTAGTACATCCAACAGAGCCCCCCTCGGAAGACATTCGTCATGAAAGCACAGGATTGAGACGAACCCGTGTAGAGGGAACTCCAGAAAGTTGGAATATGGATTAATGGTAGGATCCCCTATACTTTACCTTAAAGGGGTTACGATAATGATATTCCAACTTTCTGGCTTCTACTGTAGAGGTTCAGGACTATCAACTGAACTCGTTTACACGGCTCCAGCTCATCGCCACTTCTCCAGCATAAGAGCACCCCAGAGTAGATAGCATGTACAGGTCTCACTGTACTGATTGCATTCATGGACAATACCGACTAACTGACTCAAAACTCCGCTGCACAAACATCTCAACAGCCTCTGCACGTACTGCTGCGCATGTGTGCAGCGGCATTCGCTGCACGATGTCTAGAATTTTTACCCATGCCAATGCTGTGCGCTCAGCAGGAACAATGCATCAAGAAGTGTACTTGAGCAAGCCGGCACCGCATGCTGTACCAAGCTCTGGGCTGGAATGCACGGAGAACACCTTCACCTGGCAAGCACATTCGAGTAACACCTGCATAATCTAGCGGATTCAGGGGGCACGCCACGTAAACCGAGACGTCTACCTTGTGGCGCCTTGCGGGGGAACAAGATCTCTGAAAAAGTCACAAGCCCATCCAGACTTGAAGCATTCTGAGCAAGCTTGAAGGCTCCTTACCAAAAGGGTTTCCTGACTAGTTAGAGTTTGGGTGCATATGACACTAGACAGACTACAAGGGGAGATCGTTCATGTGTATTCAGACCGCTGTATTACTTCCACCGATGGCCTTCATTGTAGTTCCATCTTTGGTCCTGCAAACTCCTACATGTACAAGGTAACCCAAATAGGGAACCAAGGTAATCCGAATAGGGAACTCCCTGCACTTGCGGCACCCGCTGAGGTCTCCTTCCTAAGTCTTGCCGGATCCAAATTTCCGATTGACCATCGTAAGGGGCATGAATAATCATTACAGGGTTTGTGGGTCTACTTTCGTATGCGTCGATGAAGGAACCCTATAACCCATACTGTATACTACAGGGCCTTGATGTTTGGAGGCGTACGTTTACATTAAGGAACCAAGTTTGGGAATTAATCAGCCTTCCATAATATCGCTTCAGTGCCGCTCTTGCCAATTCGCTCACGAAGTCAGACGGTCTGCGCGTCCGACTGTTTTCATCCGTTCGTTCACAAGACAGGCTGTGAGAAAACTGTACTTCCATGCCTTCACGGTAGACTGTGATGTGCTTTCAAACTGTGCTGGAAATTCTCAGGCGAGAATTGAAAGTGAGACTCACACCCACGCTATAACGGGATGTGCGCAAAGGATTCTGCCTGCACCCGTCACAGAAGTAGACACCAATAATCCAAAGCCTACAGTAGCGTGTGTGGTGCCAACAGCAAACGAACTGCTAAAGTCTGCAGCCTAGCTGTGTCTGTGCAGGCGCTTGGTGCAATGATACTGGAAAAGGGTACAGTATTAAGCTTGACCAGCCATGCTGGGATCAGATTGGCTGCAGATGCTGCTGCGAACTGCTGTGAGTCGAATTGATTAACAAGCCCCGCCTTGCATGCTCATCCATGCCGGAGATAGATTAAAAATTACAGTCGTGGCCAAATCAACAAGCTCAGAAGGTGAGCGAGGACGCATCTAGAGCCATACGGACTGTGCGTAGGCCAGTTTGTCCAGGTCACTGAAATCTCCTGGTTGAAGGCTGGCCATCCGTGTCTGAACAAAGCTGAGGAAGTCGGGGTCACATCCTGAGTTCTTCTTGACGAACTGTATCAAACGACACCAGTCCATTCGAGACAGGAGCTTTCCAATGTTCCGCTTTGCAGATGGTGAGAGGCTTGAAGTGTTCATTTCATGCTTGACGATCTCCTGGTGGATCTGCTGCTGAATGTAGAAGGACTCGAGGACAACTCTGTCCAAACACGCCCGTTCGAAGACCTGCTCAAGCACAAACTCCAGCACCTCTGCGACGGGCAGAGTCTGGACGATGCTGCGTTGCTTCTTGTCCGGCTTTACCCTTTCCCCGCTTGTCGTGCTGAAACCGGCACAGCAACTCTGCCAATGCCGATCGCGCGAAGCATCCATGTAGCAAGGCCTCAGGCTGCAACAAGAGCGTTGCACTCAGTATGCACAGACTTCAGACACTCGACACGAGCACCCGCTGCCTCTGCAAGGTAGGCGCCAAGAGCAACCCAAATGGGTCTCCTGCTGTGATTTTGGCATACGACAAAATCCGGCAAGGGATGCTCTGATTGAGGCTTTCCGCCAAGGCGGCCATAGTTTTGAATGGGTAGCGTGTCAGGATTCCATCGTTCAACTGCCATGCTGAAGTTGTTCATGATGATGCAGATGATACTTTATAGGTGACATCTGATGCTGCTATTGATGATAACGGTCGTGGTCGTTGTGATCCACGCGGCGAATGATTTATGTGGGAGTTTCCGAAAATAGGGGATCCTAATGTAGTACCCTAAATACTAGGATCCTTATTATAAGGACCCCAAAATAAGGTACCCCTAATTTTCGGAAACTCCCATGTTGCATCTCAAAGAAGCCCGGATGGTGATGGTGCTGGGGTCTGGAGACGAAGACGGCCACAGTAGCACTTGTCATAACTATTTTGCGGCGAGTTGCGGCTGCCGACGGTGGGACTGCCGACTGTGATGTTACTGATGACCGGTATTTTTATAGTAGTGCTATTTGCTGGTCGTAGTGGTAGTACTAGTAGTAGTGGTAGTAGTAGATGGTGATAGTAGCAGTAGCAGTAGCAGTAGCAGTAGCAGTAGCAGTAGTAGTAGTAGTAGTAGTAGTAGTAGTAGTAGTAGTAGTAGTAGTAGTAGAAGTAGAAGTAGTAGTAGTAGTAGTAGTAGTAGTAGTAGTAGTAGTAGTAGTAGTAGTAGTAGTAGTAGTAGTAGTAATCGTAGTAGTGGTAGTAGTAGTAGTAGTAGTAGTAGTAGTAGTAGTAGTAGTAGATGATAGTAGTGGTAGTAGTGGTGGTAGTAGTAGTAGATGGTAGTAGTGGTAGCAGAAGTAGCAGTAGTAGTAGTAGTAGTAGCAGTAGCAGCAGAAGTAGAGCAGTAGTGGTAGTGGAAGGGGTAGTGGTAGGGGTAGTGGTAGTGGTAGTGGTAGTGGCAGTAGTAGTAGTAGTAGTAGTAGTAGTAGTAGTAGTAGTAGTAGTAGTAGTAGTAGTAGTAGTAGTAATAGTAATAGTAATAGTAGTAGTAGTAGAAGTAGTAGAAGTAGTAGTAGAAGTAGTAGTAGTAGTAGCAGTAGTCGCAGTAGTAGTAGTAGTAGTAGTAGTAGTAGTAGTAGTAGTTGTTGTAGCTGTAGTTGTAGTTGTAGTTGTAGTTGTAGTTGTAGTTGTAGTTGTAGTTATAGTTGTAGTTGTAGCTGTAGTTGTAGTTATTGTTGTTGTTATTGTTGTTGTTGTTGTTGTTGTTGTTGTTGTTGTTGTTGTTGTTGTTGTTGTTGTTGTTGTTGTTGTTGTTGTTGTTGTTGTTGTTGTTGTTGTTGTTATTGTTGTTGTTGTTGTTGAGGTTGTTGTTTGTTGTTGCTGCTACTGGTGCTGTTGTTGTTGTCGTTCTTGTTGATGTTGATGTTGATAAAGTTGTTGGTGGTGTTGTTGGTGCTGCTTGTGTTGAGGGTGTTGTTGATGTTGGTGTTGTTGCTGTTGTTGTTGGTGATGGTGGATGTGCGGTTGCTGTAGTCAACAAGGGTCCCTACAACCATTCTTCGTCGTCATCATCAGCATCATCGTCACTGGTACACAACCATCACCACGATGTGCGTCATGACCGGTCGTCACCTTGACACAATAATGTTAGCAGCTATTTGTGCCCCTCGAGGCTATGAAGCTATAAGCGGCAAACAAAACGTGGCAACGAAGACTCTCGCCTGATGCAAAAAACCTGGAATGCTTAGGTTCAAGCGAGATGTAATTACCGCTGGGTTTGTAAATCTGATTCTTGTTCCTACCACGCCGTCTCCACTGATGCAAGCATGTTTTGTCATTAGTCATTCAACAACCATCTCAAACCTTGCACTGGGTTGTACAGTCATGTTGGCTGCAGTCGTCCTCGTGGATACGAATGGCTCAGAGAGCGGTCGCTACAGAAGCTTCTAACTTGTCACTGTTATCATAGCCGACACGGCTCACAAAAGCGCGTGAACTGCATCCCAAGCACTTGCCACTGTTGCCCTGAGCTTCCGAGTCCATGCTCGAAAAATCAGGCCGGAGGACCACAAACTCCTGCACGTCCGGGCCATGCTCTCCATCAACGCCTCGCGAAGCTGCAACTGATTGCTTCCGGGCTGACGGGAAGTTGGGCCGGAATCTCACGCTTCGAGACTATGCCACTACGAGCCACACTTGTGTTTAGTTGAGGAGCGCCGACAGAAGTGCTATTCATCGTGTGCCCTCCTTGAAAGTTGGCACACAATTCGATGCCGATATGTCGAAGTTCGAAAAACACACGTGCGGCTCAGGCTGGGCGGTCAGGCCCGACGCGTTAAATGTCGGCCGCAGACAGGTGCTTCTAAGCTGAATGCATCTGGTGCTGTCAATCTTAGGAGCACCATGTTTAATCTTAGGAGCACCATGTTTGGTATGAGTATTCCATGCGATATGCGCCGTTCGAATCCTATCCGTATTGAAATGCACAGAACACTCTATAGCTCCTGCTATTTCTACCATTTCGGTGCTGTCTCCGTGTTGAAAGACTTCACTTCTTGGAACTTGAGAGATGATAGGATTACCAGGAGTGCTGCAAATGCGACTTGTCCCGATTGCATGTTTGCCGGGAGGCTCGGACTTAGGACTTAGGACTCGCCGCGAGGGAAGCGATGCCTTCTGTGCTGATTGGCCGGCCATAGATGTCCACCTTTGCAAACAGAGGTCAAGGCGAGGCGTTACTCGACAAGCCACCATGCCAAGAACGGTTGTCGCATGAGCTACCCGCTTCTGCTGCCAACCGTCACTTCAAGGCATATACTATGCACAAACGGCTTCGGTGTCTGCCTGGACTTGGGTGTAGGGGGGGACATCACTCATAGGCAGCATCCTCACCACTGATGCTAGATGCGGGTAGTGTTCACAGCATGGATATGCGGCATTCATACTCGCGGTAGTCTCTCTAGGCCTTTCTTACTCTACGGAAACCGCCATGATGATGTGCACCCTCTCTTATGGTTGCTCTGTTCACTGCCAGATTGCTCTTGTGCTTGCGGCAATCGCAGCCCCAGTCCGGCTTTTTGAGAATCCACAGAGGTTTCTGCTGATGTTATTTTTTGCCACGACCTAAAACTGGACTTCCGACAGTGGTCTCTGTCCAGCTGACGTTGGTGTTGATGGCGCAGGAGGTGATGCAAGCACTGGCACAAGCAATACCAACTCTCGTCGTCATCTTTCCTGAACCCTAAGCTCCTACGCTTACACCTTAAACCATATAACCCTTAAACCTTAAACCCTAGACCTTTAATTTGTCGTCGTAGTGTAGTGCAAGTCCTAGGGGTAGCGCTTACCAATGCGATCGGGGTTTGGGGTCGGTTTAATTTAAGGCTCTTGGCATATTCTTTTAGCTCCTGCTTCCTCGTTAGGGTTCCAAGACCCTAATTTGCCCTAAATCCTAAACCCCTAAACCCCAAACCCTACACTCCTAAACCCTAAACCCGTTAGGTTTTAGAGCCCAAACAAGGTGTTATTGACAAGTTTGCATGCCAGGCCTCGGCTGACATGGTGGAGCTCGACCTTGGGACACGATGTCACCATGTTTGACTATGGCAAGGTTATAGTATAGCATCGTGAGGAACAGTATGTCGTCATATATCGTAGTTCATATACCGTAATAGATCATAGTATATCATGATAAACTGTAGTATATTACACTTCGGTATGTAGATGTATACCAGTATATTTAACTAAGAGTATAGCAGCGAATGTCTAGGTTGGCCTGGCCCTACAAGGCCCTAAGGCCTTCGAAAAAAGGAGTCGTCAACAGGATCCTTTCGAGTTAAGTAATCATCATAATAAGGTGGATACAGGTCTGAGGCTCGGGTTTGAGGTAGGAAACTGACGATCGCGGTGACCTGAGTGAGTTGGTTGAAGCAGGTTGCCGAACGCGTCGGCCACTGCAAAAGCAGCGTAGTGGTGAATATAACAAGACCCCTGAATGAAAATCAAGGTATACCACACTCAGACCCTCAACCATCCCAAACCGTACTTGCACTGCTGCTGATCACCTCAGCTGCTACTGTTGTTGCCGGCTTTCTGACCTGCGGTCAGTGTATGGATGTAGGTGATTCGGACGGTGGTCTCTTGCCCAAAGGCTTTGAACTGGAGGCTGTGAAGGCCTCAAAAGATTTCAGGTTCCCTTCACTGTAAACCCGAAGGGATGACTTGACGTTCCTGGCGTGGCGATGCATACTTGCTGCGGACAACCTCCCAACTTGTCATTTAGGGGCCTAAGAAATTACAACTCGGGTTCCTTAGTACAGCAGATGTAGTTCGACCCCTCTAGTAGTCCAAAGCTCGAATGCAACATCCATGAGAGTCCTCAACCGAGCCACACACCCAGTTTCCGTTTGATGGTTTAGGGGCTTTAGGGGTTTATTGGTCTTAGTTCATTGCTGGAAGAGGGTTTGGGGCATGCTATAGCCTAGCTATCAAGAAGAAAATCCTTAGGGCCTTAGGGACAATAATTGCAATTCTTCAAGCTCTAGATGAACCTATGAAACCAGCTTGAAACGTAGTCGATCAACTACAGCCTACACCCAGTAGCCTAAAATGTCTCGCTGTGAATCTTTTTCTGCTCCTTGCGGAAACTCGAACCAGTCAACACCTCGTCTCAATTAGCTGTCATTTGTGCAGTGCTTTGCCGCCAAATGCAGCCAATCGCAGCGCACCTGAACATAGCTCAACCACGGAACTTGGGACCCTGGTCGTATCGTACTTCTGGAATGAGCGCCTGGCTCGTGCTGATGCTGCAAGCGAAAAGCAGGTGTGAAACTTTGGTGGTGAATTGGGCTATGAGTTGGCATAGCCAGGGAGTGAGTACTCAGCATGTGGACAAGTTGCCTACGATGCATCCCTGAGGAGGAACTGCACTTCGATGGCTTGCTGTCTAGATCGCATGCACCATTGCTGTGTACTCTGACGCCTCGCGACTGAAGACCTGCGAGGGATTGAATACATTCCGCGGGTTCTACGGACAGCCTGCATGCACTTCAAGTGCTCTCAGGGATGAACCAGGTCATGATCGCAATCAAGCCTCGCGAAAACCATGTCAGCTGACTGGCACAGCGCACTGCCTTGCCCTCTATGAAAACAAGACCTGCAAAGGCCATGATACCCACAAAAGATTACCGAGGCAACGTGTAGACTCTACGGTACGCTTCTACAAGACTTTATCTGCTTGTGTGTAGAGCTTGTCGTCCAGCTGCAGCCTCTTCACGACAAGCAGAGTGTTCGGCGCAGTGTTACATGAAATTACCAGAGATTGCGACCTCTACTGGCAGACAGGGGAAGGATGTTTGCAGACAACCTCGGATTGCCTTAACTTGGATCTCTTGGTTGATGAATTAGGGCTTAAAATCGACCTCCCGGTGTCTTGGGCCTCGGATTTAGCTGGATCTATTGCGCTCTTGTGCCTTTGCAGTGTCGACCCTCTGCTGCTCACAACGAAACCCAAAGCCTCTTACACTGGATCTTCAGACTGTTCAGACTCTTCTGATCCAGTATTCTTTACCCCAGAACAGCATACACTATGTAGGGTACCGAAAAACTAGGCAACAGCAGTCAGGTATTTCACCACATGCTGCCTCATAATGCGACAGAACAGAATCTGGGATAATATAAGACAAGATAAGATGACATAACCTGATCTAACCGAAAAGAAAGAACATAATAGAATTGAATCGAAGCTAAGCCAAGATAAGATAATGTTACATAGTGTAAATAAATACACAAACAAATAAAAAAAATGAGTAAGCAGGCTACATACATATGTATATATACATACATGCATACGTATAGCTACAATTATGTACATACTCTTGTTGAGTCTGCGATCATGGGAAGCTTTTGCTACAGTCCTGGCTTAAACACTAAGCTCTAAACTCGTTCAGTAGCGAGCCGGAGCAGCCAAGGTCTGACATGACAGCAATGAGCTGGGGGCCGTGGTGATTAATTTTGGGGGGGGGCACTAATACTTGACCAAGAACTCTAGCTCCAGATTGCATGCGCAGGGCCGGCGAGCCCCCGACTCTGCATGCTTTGCAGAACGAGAAATCCCGAGACTCTGAATCCCGTCAACGACCCTGCAAAGCCCAGTGGCAGTAAGTAGTCACGAGCATGGCACCATGCAGCCAGTTGGTGTTCCCGTGCTGCAGCACCTAGATCAATCCGACTCAGTCGATGTCCGTTCCGAAGAGTTGTCCGTAAGGATTCGTATCAAACCCCGAAGCCCTAAACCGCAAAGCCCGGCAGCTCACAAGTTCACAGTATCTCGGAGACCTAAACCCTGAACCCTATATCTTCAAACCGTAATTAAGGACCCTTTGACATTTCTGGGAATTGCTGTCCGATGCGGGCTGATGAAGAGTTTTCAGGATCGCATTTGCATCACTCTCAACCCTACCAAATACCCTCGATTGGTCAAGTAGTCTGTGTAGAGTAGGGGCCTTGCACGAGCCATCCACACCCCGCCCCCCTGGGATGCCAAGGAAAACTGCACCTCCGTGGGTGGTGTGCTTGTACGGCTGCTACTGTACCATAGAACCCTATCCGGTCCCAGCGCAACCGTAGGCTAGCGAGACCCGACCTCTACGCTCTGGACCCCGAAGAGTTCCAGTTCTTGAAGAAGCTGGAGTGCGACGGGGTCGAGGCTTCAAGCAACTTGCCAGATGCAGAGGACTCAGTTGGGCACTGACCCCTAAAGTCCCTAAAGCACAGAGCCCTTAGTGCCGAAACGAGCTTTTTGGATCTCTGTTACGCGAATAGAGTTTCGGGACATACTGTACTATAGACAGTCTAAGTGTATGATGACCGTCAGGGCATACGATTACAACGGTTACTACTTAAGAGGGTTTATCGGAGTGGGAGCTTGAGGGTCCCGCCTGCGAGACCAGGAAGACACTCAGCATCTGGCAGGCGGTGTCGAAGAGCCGGAAGTTTAGGGACATGGGTGTGCCTGGGCCGAAGACATCGCTATGTGAAATTGTGGGGCTCGGGGAGCTTTGCTGTTAGCACCTTTCTCGCTGAAGCTTGGTTGTGGACAAGTCCTCTGCCTTCTTCCAGGAGGAGGTCTTTTTGGTAAAGCTGAACCATTCAAATCCAGCAGTCGCTGTCCTGGCTGCTTGTTGCCTCTAGTCCGCCTCAGAACATGGGTAACCCCACCCTAAAGCCTCAGATAAACCCTAAAACCGTAAAAACCCTCCACCCTTCATGCGGCCAAGTCTGCCATATGCCCAGCCGGCGAGAACTGCCACTGGTACAACAAAGAGGGCGATCTGAGTGGAGGAGCCCACAGCAACACCTGGCAGCAGCACAGACTTGAAAGGACACGCGATATGCGCGCGCGCGCCATGAATCTTTTTTACGGGTTTTTAAGCTTTTGCCAACCCCATCTAACCCTAATATAAATCTAGTCCTATGTAGACCATAGATAAGCCCTGTGTAAACCCTAAACAAACCCTAGACCCAAAAAAGCAGCTAAATCGGTCTGCCTGTCGATGATCGTGCTTCTTCTACTCCCGGGCTCAAGAACCAAATTGAAACCTAGGGTCAAGATTTATAGGGGTTTGTGATTTAGGGTAGAGGTCGAACACCTCACAAAAAAATACACGACCCGAAAACAGGAGCCACCGAAAACCTGTAACAGAGGGGCCTTAATGATTAGACTACGGTGTTTTTTGGAGGGGGAGAGCCCTAAGGGGATACTATGACTAATTATCCCGACACCCGTACCCAAGCCCAGAATCTTCATACTGCCAAGCGACCTATTGCCAAGTCCAGCTTCCCTTTGTAAGCCGAGGTGACTGCAGTGGCATGCTCCGCAGCGTTGCCTCTAGGGTGTAGAGCCCCTAAACAGATCTATACGGTCTAGCCTGGGTCTGGATTTTCGGCTGTCGGAAGAAGGGTGTCGGGTCTAGGGTCTGAGGTTTGGGGATGCGGGTTTAGCGTTTCGGGTGTCTGGTTGGGACAGCTCCACAACGGAACACATCGGCCGAGTGTGCCGAATGGCAGAGCTTGCATGGTTCACAGACAGAGACAACACATGGAGGGCCTCAATCGTTGGAATAGGGTTCTAGGATATATTGTGCTACAAACATGTAGGCGAATTCTGGCGAATGGCTTTCCAAATTACCCAGACTGCTGTAATTTGTGACATACATTGTCTCTTCACGAACCTTGAGTATGTTCTACACCCTGAAGCCAAGTCAAAGCTTTCAGGATGGACCCTCAACCCTTTTGACACCTAGCCACACACTGTCGGGGGTCTTGTAAAAATGGAACTGACTTTGGGGAATGATAAATATGACAAGGGGACAGTGATATTACCACTCCTAGCCAGAATGCATTATTCCGACCCCTGTAACTTAGGCCATGTATTATATTGCCCCGACACCTGCAGATTTCACTTATCCTTGGTAGATAGGACCAGGTAAGAGTGTTCCCGTGCTCGGAGCTGCATGACGGTCCGAGCATGGGCTGACCACAGCGGCTTGTGGAGCATCCCTTTTGAAGAGAAAAATACCACCTCACCTGCGCTACCGCTGGAGTCAGAGTTTCACAGCCCGTCTTTCCCGTTCTCAAGTCCAAGGACGTGGCATGTTCAGAAATCAGGGAGCCTACACAAAGACCCCAAGTAGCAGGATCCTGATTCTTACCACCTCCCCGAAAGCAAGCTACTCCCTAAGCTCCAGAAGCCCCCGCGGGTTTCCGCTTCAACTTTTTTTGGCTCGGGCCGGGGACATGTCGGATCTAAAGTAGCAGGCGGTGTGTTAGGTTTGGGCGGTGTAGGGATGTTAAGGCTTTCGGGCATTCGGTTGTAGGGAATTCAGGATTTATGCCAGCAGTCAGCAAACTACCATGTCAGCGGTCTTCATATCATCGTATCTGAAGCCTGGCTGAAGGCATTTAGGGCTTTAGGGTTAAGGGCAGTGCTGTAGGGTTTAAGGGCCTATCTAGTTTCGGAACATGGCTTTTGTTCTTGATTGTCCATCGCGCTACACGTCTTAAACGAACCGTTAGAAGCCCCGAAGGCGAGAAAAGCAATGCGCCAAGCTGCCCACAATCGGCAACAAGATCACGCCAATAAATGCTTTCGGCAAGCCGAAGTTAGTGGAAACACCTGCACCCAGATTTCAGATTCTGTCAGCTATCTGGCTTGTAACGTGCTTGAACATGCATTGGCCGAGCTGTTGGGGCTTGCAGAAACGTTGTTGCAGCCTCCCGTAATCCAAGCCGGCATCACTGCCGTGAACCCTACGAGCCTACGAGTAACTTCGCAGTTGAGCAAATCGAGCAGGGGCGAGAGCAGTGCGTGGGGCTGGCAAGGCTTCACACGGGCTTCGGGAAACTGTACACCGAGGTTCGCTTACAGGGCTTCATTAAGGCTGCAATGTTCGAAAGGCTTCACACGGGCTTCGGGAAACTGTACACCGAGGTTCGCTTACAGGGCTTCATTAAGGCTGCAATGTTCGAAAGGCTTCACGAGGCTTCGAGACGAACCGTACTCCTCCTCCCTCCCCGCCTCCCCCCCTCCTTCGCTTCCTGGCCGCCCTTGTATTTGTTTTTTTTCTCTCTCTCTCTCTCTCTCTCTCTCTCTCTCTCTCTGTCTTTCTCTCTCTCTCTCTCTCTCTCTCTCTCTCTCTCTCTCTCCGAATGGCTAACTCTCGTTGCCTCTTTTCGGAGCCCATGTGCATGGGTTTCTCTACAGTTCTCCATGACTCCATGACAACTTCGGCTACGACAGCGAGAATGCTCTTCGGCTCAACAGCGCTGGTGCTATAAACCGTTTGATGTCGGAGAAACCCTTGGATTCCTGAAAGCCGAAAGAGTAAAGAAGTCCGTCATACACCAGCCCTGATCATGGGAATAGGGTTTGCTATAGCATCAATCCTTGAAGACTATACGGGGATAATACGAGTATTACTGGCTAGGTACTCCAACCATAATTCATGCGGTAGCATGCACGTGAGTTGGGGCATGTGCGCTACTCGGATAATCTGATAACTATGCCGGAATGAAACGACCCCTGGGCCACCCTTCATCCCAAACCCCTATGCTGCTGTAGAATCTCAGAACTTAACATCACTAGCTACCCAATCTCCGCCGAAGCTTTGCATTACATCTGCACGCGCACCAAACTCGAACCAACCAATGCCTTTGTGCAAACGCTGAACTCTCACCTCGGACCTCCAAACTTCAAACCCACAGCACACCCTAAACTCTGAATCAGAACTGAAACACAACTTATAATTGAACCATAATGAAGCCTTAAAAGCCCTTATAGAGCCAGTACTAGTACCCTAGACCCTAAACGTTCACTATAGAACCATAATGAACCCTCATAGAGCCCTTAAGCTACTAGTACCCTAAGCCCCAAAAACCTTCAAGAGCGACCTTCAATGGAATCCACGAGCTCCTCCGAGCAGGCTGCGACCACCAGTGTGCAAAGCCTTGAAGGCAGCCGCTTTGGGGGTTTAGAGCTTGTAGGGTTTAGGGGTTGTTTAGGGTGTAATTAAGGGTTTAGGGTTTAGCGTTGAGGTTTAGGGTTGACATAATTTGGGTTTGGGGCTCGGTTAGGGGTTTAGGGTTTATGGGTTTAGGGGTTCAGGAAGGCTCGGTGTCAGCGTAAAAAGGGTGCCGCAATAAGAAGAGAGTTCCTTTCAGGGTTCTTTGAGGCTTTGCCAGGTAGAAGTCAGAATCGAGTTTGGGGGGTAGATTATACAGCAGGCTTTAACAGGTTTGAGAAAACTGGTGGATCTTTTCGCCGACTGCGAAGCTATCTGAATATGACTCAAGGGCCCTTACGGCAGCGGGAAATATATACAGTTAACACATGCATGTCATGGCCATGGCTTCCTGTACATGTACAACAGAGGGTGCATTCACACTCAACCTGTTCTCATGCCATGACATCGAGGAAAATCTAAATTAACCACATGAGGTACAATAGGCATTGTCCTCCGGAAGTGGTGTCTGCATGCTACCCTAGCACCGACTCAGCTACTATGGTACAAACAACGTATGCCCACGATTGTAGCGTCTGCAATCTACGTCTACAGCTTAGCTCGACTAATACTGTACTCACCAGATTCAATCACCTTTATGATGAAATCCGGCTTCATGGACTTTGTGAAACAATCAGCGGCTTGAGTGGCTGTATCGACCCAGTCCACTCTATCTCCACCCGCAGGGTAGGCCTCAACCGTGCGCTTGCCGTCTTCTGTAAAGATAGATTGGCGAAGAGCGCTAAGCTCGATTTGCAATCGTTTGTCTTGCACACGGGACGGAGCCTCCGTGTTAAGGTGATCGGCTAAGCTACGGCAGTCCGTCAGCGCTATGTGCGGAACCTGTGTTCTCGCACGAAGTTCCCAATCGGGACCACTACTACCGAATCCGTAGATTTCGGCTAGGGCTGCTCTTATGCGATCCCCTGCCTCTTGGGCACTTTGGAGTGCGTAAGTCTCAGCCTGAAGAGTTGCTCTGCATACTCTTTTGATTGTGGTGGATGAGAACGACACGATCATTGTGTCGTAACGACTACAATTTGGATCGCGAAGCTGGGCAGCTGGAGCGAGAAAATGGATCCGTCCTTGTTGTGATCGGTCTCCCTTTTCACCCGCAAAGCTAGCGTCTGAGGCTGTCAGTACGCCCAGGCTCTCGAAATCAAAAGCACCATTTTTGTATCTTAGCTTAAGGTCGCGACCCTTTAAGGCAAGTTCTAGGACTTTGTTAGCCTCATGAAGAGTGCTAACAGTTGCACCTTTTATCGAGCTCTGAAGCTTCGATACGCGGTATAGAATATCTGGCCTAGCCTGCCTAGAAATCCACGAAAGGCTGCCGACTACAGAACGTAGTTGACGTTCTTCACCTCGGTCAATAAGATCCGAGTGTTTCCTTCCTGCCTTGACATCAATGTAGGTGATCTTGTTCGTGTTATCGGTAACGTCGATTAACACGTCCTTTCCAGATATGTCGAATTGCTTACCGCAGAAGCGTAGTCTTCCCGACTCGCGGCGGCCTACTTCGAACTTCTTTAGGAGCTTATCTATGATAGTTCCGCCCTTGCCTATCGATGCCCATAAAAAGTCATCGACATGTGTTGTCAAGACACAGACTACTTTTCCGGCGGCGCGGTAAAAGTAAAATGCAGGGAAAATCCTGCTTACCTGGAAGCCGACTTCACGTGCTTCTCGGTCGACTTTCCTCCAAAATCCTCTGCCGCTATCGCAGAGTCCGTATACCGGTACTCTGATCAGGAGCATCGCTTCCGGATCTACTCCTGGAAGTCCTCCGCCAGGTTGTCTCATAAGTACAACCCTGTCTATTGGCTCGGCCTGAAAGTAGGCGTTGCGAATATCTGACGATTCTACAGGGACTCCATTGGATGCGGCGAACGCTGACACTAGGCCATGCGTTTCGAGGTCTGAGGTTGGCGCGTCCGTGCGAACCTCTGTGGAATCTTCAAAATTTCCACAGGACACCAGTCTGGATTTGAACTCAGGTTCATAATCCGGCTTAAGACGTTCATGATAGTTCTTAATAGTGTCGACCCATTTAGATGGTATCGGCGTATGACCGGCGTCTAATAGTTCCTTAAGCTGCGCTCCTTTCAGCGGAATTGCCGCTTGAAAATCCTCATATTTCTTCCATTCCTTAGCGCGTGATCCATCGATCCGCAGGCGGACTGCTGGGGTGCATTCCCAGTATTTCAAGGCCTCGGGGAGGTCCTTGAGCTCCTGCTCAACCTGTTCTCTGGAAGAGAACCGGTTAGACCAAAAACCACGGAGTTTCTGTCGAATACTCACGTTTGCTTCCTCCTCGTGTCTACGTT